TAAAAAGAGTGATTTTATTTCTTAATCTCGTTTTTGTCCGATAATTGTACTATTTTTTTAGTACTTCATCAGTTTCAGGATAAAGTAGATGTTTGTCGCGTTTGTACGAACTTTGCTTGCAGAAAGCACTAGCAGTCCAATCAAAAGGAGTGGACATTGATCTGGTCAGAATAGACTAAGAACAACATGGTTGATAAACGATCAAAAATTTATCTGTATGATCATCTAAAATATCAGGCTGTGTAAACTTTTCTAAATTTACCATACATGTACTAGTGTATGATTTGTTATAAGATTTGTGATACCTTAAAATTTATATATCAACATCACCAAGCTAACTAGACTAACGTTATGGAGTTGGTGGTACACATCCTACTTTCTTATATTCACAGCATTATTAAGGGTTCCTTTTGCAGTTACATGTAGACAGGAAAGTTTTTTACTTGTTTTAATCGGATGTTCAATTAAAAAAAAATCCAATTGTTTGAAGCTCGACTTCTTTTAGCTTGCGAAAATGTCAGTATTAGTAGACCACTCAAAGTTAGAAAAAAATCTATTTTTAACTTTGAAAAACACACGATAAATGTCTTTTAACAAAAAAAATATCAGTCAAAAACGTTGACAAAACATTGCTTAATAGTCATGTGATGAAAAAATGTCCATACTATTATATTTAATTGGCACAAACACGAACTATTGTATGGTGCATTCGACAAGAAAAAGTAAATGTTCTCCGTATCGCTTAGAGAAATAAATCCGGAAATTCACTGAATTATAATTTCTATTAAAAATGTGTCAAAAAACGTGAAATTGTTTGAAGTGGTCTCATAACTTTACAAAATTAAGTATCGATGTAATGTAAATTTACAAATGTTGTAAACACTCCGTTGAAATAAAACAGAGTCCATTTTTTTAAAACTGAGCGAAAACGAACATAAAAAGGATAAATAGAGGAAATAACAGTTTTACAATAGGAATAAGCACTTAAACTCTTCATAAAATGCAAAATCAAGAGTTTGAGGACTATAAAAAAGACATAAAAGTAAATGTTTTGTCGAGTTGCATTTTGAATGAAAACCTCAACATGTCTTGTCCTTTCCATTTTATGAAAAACTGCACCGCAGGAAATAGCTACGACCGGGCAAAAAAGTAAGATAAAGCTTAAGGTATTGGCTTTGCAAAAAAATAATTTTCAGCCTGCAGTTATGCCGGTCCATTTAAGACGTAAAATAAGCACCTTTTTCTTGATTTGTCACTCCACTAAAAACACAATATACAAAACTAAAGACTGAGCAACACGAACCGGGGTGATCTCGTGTGCTCCTGAAGGGTACTAATGATCAGATCCTGCTCCACATATGTCACCGGTCGTGTTGCTCATGTAAGTACAAACCCGGTGATAAGTCTAATTCGGTAGGTCACATACGGGGATTGTGGTTAAGACGATTGGATCGTATCCGTCGTCATCTTTGAAACGGATATTCCATAACGGACAACCAACTCGTGATTGTGTCCGTAAAATTTTTGAAGGGATGATTTCAACTTCACCACTTGGAACTCTTGGTTTAATAGCTTCCTTGTGAGCAGCAACCTTTTATCAAGGAAATCATGATAGAAAACCCAAGTCCTTGAATATCGTATCAACTGAGAGGTATATACTCCATATGCAGGCGCTGCTGGAACTTTGTTCCATAGAAATGGAAATTTCACAATTGGAAAGCTGAAATCATCTCTTTTGTCGTAAAGTTTTGTACTCAACCTACCCTAATTATCAATTTAGAGATGTTAAGTCAAGATATGAGGCAGACTTAACTATATATGTTGTATCCTTTATTTCAAATTTGATAAGATAGATGCGTTCAACATAGTCACCATTAATTATTTAGTGAGAGAACATTATCTATATAGCAGAAAGTGAAGTTAAAGGATAATGTTTGCTTCTTGTTATTCTTCATTAGAAGCCCCTGTATGAAGATATCCTCGTATGAATAAAGGATTAACACATTTAATATATGTGCTTAATTTTGAACTCTTTAATATGTATTGAATAACTTGTGTATGACATGCATCTATTGACATGTAAATGTATAACATGTATATGTTTATCTGTATTGTGCATGATATGTCTTATGTATGTAATTTGTATTTCTGTGTACGCAGTATCTATGTCGGTTTTTAATGCTCTGATTAGCTTTTGTGGAACGGTCTAGTTACAAAATGTCAAACACTTTGTTAAATGTAGATACACGATAGGAGGGACTAAATTACATGAGAAAGCTGTGCTTTCGAGTGCAATTTAGTTCCTCCTATCGTGTATCACGCATAACCATGCGTTTGCCATGTGGTAAGTCACATCTGCCAAACGTTCATTCAACGTGACATTCAACACTTGATTTACTAGTTGATTTTCCGCGGTAGTATTTCAATTTGCGGTTTGATATCGCCTGCGGCAATCGCATGAACTAACCAGTATGAAAGTGAAGTTGACTATGCATGCACGCTGGGACCAGAAAATCAACTATTTAAAAATTGGAAAAGTTCCAACGCTTTATCTTATTTTTAGGAAAAGCTAAATGTACCAAAGGCTATGAAGGTAAGTCTTATTATTGCTCTGTTCCCTTGATTAGTTTTTATCGTAGTGAATTTTTCGTTTAAAAAGTCGTAAAAATCGAAAGTTCATAATTCATGTTTGTACTGTAAGGGATCATTTTGTAAAATCTAAGTGTCTGCGTTCATATAGAAATAACAATACAATAAAAATGTTAGCACGGAATTTATACCATACTTACTTCAATATTCAACACAGAAAATTCTGATTCTTATATTTACAAAGTTTGGTTTGGTTTCATGAAGTAAAGACAGTATCGTACAAAATACTCATTCTGTTTTTATGCATTTTAATTAGTTTTATTTGACTTTTTCAGTGGGACACCATCAGAGACCTTTGGTGGCGAAGAATATTAAACACCATTTCATAGTTCTTTCACGATTTTTATCGTATCCTTGAATATTATATCTGAAAGGAGTGGAATTTCGTTTTAAGAATCCTTTGGATAAAAATACGCACCCAATACACACCCAACTAGAGTTTATACATTGTCAACAATAATGTGTTCTGAGGCAATGATTAAGGTTATTTTACGAAACAATTAGTCAAGTGCAAGAAAACTGTAACAATCCGTTTTCCATAGCAAGACGTTTTAAAAAAAAGGTCATAGATCCGTAGAAAATTTAACGGAATATGAGACATTATTAAGTCAAGAAGTGTTGTAAAGTGTGATTGATGAACAAACGAAGTGCTTTCATATGAAAAAGTGAAGGATGATTTGAGAATTAATTTCAGATCCAAGGTGGATATTCACAGTTTAACTATGTGTGAAATATGAATATGCGTACATCAAAAGTTTCTTTTTTTTTCATTTGCATTTCAGATGCAGTATGGCCAGTAATTATATATATATAAAAATGCAAATCTTTCATGCTTTTTTGTAATTTGTATAAACTCCCTTCTCCCTTTTTGTAAACCGTGAGGATATCTATAAATTTAAATCTGAAGATTATGATTTTGATTGGTAAGCCAATCAAAACAAAATACTCATATCTGCTTATCTGTTGTGAAATTGGTTAACAATCAGAAGTACTTTAATTTGGAACTTGAATTGGGTAGATGTAAGCAGAGACATATAATACATTATATGAAAAAAGTAAAATAACAAAAATACCGAACTCCAAGGAAAATAAAAAATGGTAAAATCAAAAGATCAAACACATCAAACGAATGGAAAACAATTGTCATATTCCTGACTTCGTACAGGCATTTCCTTATGTAGAAAATGGTGCATTGTATTAAATGTCTCTGATATGAAAAAAGTACCTCGAAATCTTAGACTATGTAATGTTTGCTCTACTAATAATATAGATGATGAATGTTATTTCTTCTTCCATTGTGAAAGAAATAAAAATGTAAGAAACACTCGCTTGAATTAATGAAATTGATTCTCAAAACACTGACTTTTTGAATTTCACTTACAACAAAAAGCAGTATATATTGAATCCATCAAGTTTTCAACAAGTACAAAGTCTATGTTTCTTTTTTAAAACGGTCAATGGAACTGAGGACAAGAGACTCTTGGTTTACTGACTGTTAATATATTTGTTGTATATATGTTTTATTTGATTTGTGTTTGTTAGTCGCAAGTCGTACTTTACATGATTTAAGACAATAAAGATTATAATGATACTCTAATAGGGTATTGTAGAAACCCTCACACTTTTACCAAAGAAAGTCGAATGAACTATGGTACATTGTAATATAATTTGATATGTACCGTCTTCTAGATAAAGCGTTATTATTTTGATTGACTAGCAAATACATAAGTTAAGCTCATTTCTCTTTCAAGAAATTCATTAGAAAATGTAAAAAATAAATTACTCTATCAAGTAAATTTGACCTAAGGTGAATTTGGATATTCTTTTTAAGTCCCTTTGATCATATCGCTCCTAACTTGTTTGCGTATTTTTACCTCATTCGCTTTTAAATGTTTTTGGCTCAGAGTGTGTGATGAATATAAATCCAGAAATTTGCAAAGAGTTTTTTTCATTTGATAGCGTTTCGTGTTTTTTTAGGAAGACGACAGGTAGGAAGACGACAGGTAGGAGGTAATGACTGCGATAGTGATGGTAATCATGATTTCTGTTATTATTTTGAATGCAGTTGTTGATGTTGATGTGGATGAGGTATGGACGTTGAAAAAAGACGCAAAATTGCGTGAATGCATTTATATACATAACGATTTCAAACTGAGAATGTCAGAAAAGTAATTTGAAGTTTAAATCCTAGAAAATTAAATATAAGTAGCGTGGTAATAATAATACTTTATTATGAATATAATGATTATTATTATCGTAATTAGGATCAGAGAATATTAAAGAGGAATTAACAGACCCTCAATCAATTGAGTATTGTTGCATAACTGAACATATACGGATAAATTACTCACCTGTAATAAAGGTTGCGACAAACAACACAACAATCAGCAACTTCATCGTGGATCTGGAATAACACAATCAACGCGAATATTAAATAAATGATTGCATATTTGAAATAAGCAAGTAATTTTTTGATAAAACAAATATTCCTACAAATTAACCGTACTTCGGTACAGACATGATTTATAACAAACCTTTTTAAAAATGTCCGTTTATAAAGTTTGAAATTATTTAGAAACTAAGGTTTCAAATCCCTCAGGCAAAGTTAACCTTTTATGGATATGGCTATTAATATGCCCTTTTCAGTTGTATATATATCTTCAACTGTTTCGGTTCTTATACATCCTTGGCTTTCAATATTTGGCATTGAGCGTTCCTGATGAAGGTAAAATTAGAAAGGCGCTTAGGACGCATGAAATTTATAACGTGTTGTTTTCATTTTTACCGAACATCTTAATGTTACAAAGATCGTTTCTTTGCTTCGTAGCTGATTGGAGTTCAAGTATTCTGTGTTTGTTTAAGATTACACTTTTCCGACGGTTTACATAGATATAAGAAGATGTGGTATGAGTGCCAATGAGACAACTCTCCATCCAAATTACAATTTGTAAACGTGGACCATTATAGGTCAAAGTATGGCCATCAACACGGAGCCTTGGCTCTCACACCGAACAGCAAGCTATAAAGGGCCCCAAAAATGACTAGTGTAAAACCATACAAACAGGAAAACCAACGGTTTAATCTGTATAAAAAACGAGAAACGAGAAACACTTATGAACCACATCAACAAACGACAACCACTGAACATCAGGTTCTAGACTTAGGACAGGTGCACACAAATGCAGCGGGTTTAAACGTTTAAATAGGCGCCAACCTTCAACCGTCTACAGTCTACATTTGCGAAGAGTGTCGAAAAATAAACTTTTAAGTTTTAAAAAACATCTATTGTATTGAAAAGTGTTCATTTAAAGTGTTATTCTTTTCATTACACTAAAAGAGGGACGAAAGATACCAGAGGGACAGTCAAACTCATAGATCGAAAACAAACTGACAACGCCATGGCCAAAAATAAAAAGACAAACAGACAAATAATATTACAGATGACACAACATAGAAAACTAAAGACTAAGCAACACGAACCTCACCAAAAACTGGGGGTGATCTCAGGTGCTTCGGAAGGGTGAGCAGATCCTGCTCCGCATTTGGCACCCGTCGTGTTACTTATGTTATTACAAATCCGGTAAGTAGTCTAATTCGGTAGGTCACATTCGTGAAAAGGGAAGGGTATTGTAGTTACCACATAAGGAACATATCCGATAACCGTAACTGTTTACCCTATAATTTGTTATTTAAATAATGAAAAAAACTTACTTTGAATTAATGATAAAAGAAGTAGATGGTATCCTTGAATTTATATGTTCAGACAATATCAGTGTTGACTTTTTATTACAACCACGATTACATCTTTTCTTTCAAGCGTTTTTATGCTTAATTGATGTTTTATTTTTTTTTATTTTATAAAACTTATATAACTTATATTTAACAAATATTGAATAAACGCTACTTCATATATCTTCCAGGAAAAGAATGATTTATCAAATCTATTTTGGTAAAACGGCAAAAATAATAAGTTCATATATACTAGGCTCGAATACAAGGAGACATGGCGTTAAAAAGATTCCCTAACAATTAAATGACTCAAAATTAGCTGACGTTGATGAATGCCTAACAAAAATGTTAAATGTTAACTTCTGTATTAGCTTCAAAGAACGTTTCCTAAATAAAACTGTTTCATTTGTTTATGTACAATATAATTGATATGCGGTCATATCCTTTTTTGTAATTGGTTATCATCAAAAAGAGAAATTTACTGTTAGTTTGATTTATGTGTCCAATTTGCTTTTAATTTCTATTATTTTGGTTCGTTGTTGAGGTTGTGTAAAAAATATATACAGTCGAAACAGTAAATCAATGTTTGCAGTTTAACGTAGCAATTTCTTTGAATTTTAAACGCAAAAATTCGTCCAACATCCATTTTCTATGTTGATAAATCGACCTTATTAGTGTAAAATAGTTATAAAGGTTAATCATCGTTAAACCTGCCTGTTAAAACCTACGCGAACAATTTAAGACACTTGAGTGGGCAATGTCAGTTCTAACATAAAACTGCTTTTGGGTTAACAGCGTTCCTCCATAGATGCTAATAAATTGCTTCGCCGAGCGCAGCTGGATACGACCGCAGAGGTCCAACCCTGAACAGTTTGGGCAAAAATGGACACAATATTCGCGCTTGATACAGGTCTGAATTTGGATTACAATATTCGCGCTTGATACAGGTCTGAATTTGGATTACAATATTCGCGCTTGATACAGGTCTGAATTTGGATTGTAATTAAATATTTGACACATAAAAGGTTTCTGACAAAGAATAACTTTAGTCAAAGAACTTATAATTGGTTATATGATTTGAATTTATATTCAATTTTTTGCTTTTGTGCAATACACTATGCTGTTGCAAATTAAGCCCCCCCCCCAAAAAAAAAATAAAAAATAAAATATTTACCCCCCCCCCCTTTTTTTGCCAAAAAAATAGTATTTGAAGAAATTTTCTTTTTAATTTCTGAAATCTGAAAAAAAAATGTTCCCCCCCCCCCTTTCCAAAAAAAATTTCTTTCCCTCAAGATATGGTCATAGTATCTCAAACTTCCAATGGGGTTTGCAACCATAATTACCCAATTTAAATACATCATAAAATTCAATGACATACATAATCATGTCTAAAATTAATATTCCTTAATCAGCATTTTTAGTAGTAACTTCTAAAAATAAATTGACAGATAATCACATCAAGACAATACAACATTTCTTTATACATAAATTAAAAGCAGTGTAAGGCAGGTAATCCAAACACAAAACATTGTACTTAAAAGTAATTGTCCATTAACAAGGAAACCCTTGTTTTTCCCCCTTTTTTGCCCCTAATTCCTAAACGGTTTGAGCAATTACCCCCCAAAGCCAATCCTAACCATCCCTTTGTGGTATGGAAACTTGTGGCATAATTTCAGAAATCCATACACCGTTCCACAAGTTATTGTCTGGAAACTAGAACAATGCTTATTTGGGCCCCTTTTTGGCCCCTAATTCCTAAACTGTGAGGACTATAACCCCCAAAATCAATCCCAACCTTCCCTTTGTGGTTGTAAACCTTGTATTTTAATTTCATAGATTTCTATTTACTTATACTAAAGTTATTGTCCGGAAACCAAATGTCTTCGGACGACGCTGACGACGACGACGACGACGTGATACCAATATACGAACGCAAAATTTTTTGCGGTCGTATAAAAACTGTTCTAGCACTGTAAACCCTGGCAGCTATAATATGTAAAACATGTCTTCGTATATGATTTAACATCACGGGGGATAAGGTTAATATGCGAAATGATGTTCTTTGCTTGTGATTTGGTCCTGATGGTCGTTGAAAAAAACGTAGACAAAGACGAAAACGATGAGGTTTGACGTTTTCTGGAATAATAATAGACGAAAAGAAATAGTTGAGATGTTTTAAATTTGATTATTATGATTGCAAAGGCAAGCAACGAAAAAATGCTCTCTTTTGGGCTTTCCTGTGTGTATCGACAAGTGCTAAAAAGTAAAATAACAAAAGTACCGAACTCCAAGGGAAATTCAAAACGGAAAAGTCCTAAATAAAATGGCAAAACCGAAAGTTCAAACACATCTAACGAATGGAAAACAACTGTCACGTTCCTGACTTTGTACAGGCATTTCCTTATGTAGAAAATGGTGGATTAAATCTGGTTTTATAGCTAGCTAAACCTCTCACTTGTATGACAGTCGCATTGAATTCCATTTATTGACAACAATGTGTGAGCAAAACAAACAGGCATAATAGGTTAAACCGTCAAAAATTCATATTATGAAAATAAGAAGAGGTCGGCAAGGAGAAGCGCAAAGTTCGTTCCCATAGGATTGCCGACAACTTGCTGAAAAAGTCTACCTCCAAATTCAACAAAGATGTTGTCAGTGAGGTACTCAAGCATACTGATCACTTGTTCCTCTGTGTAGCATGTTTTACTTTTTGTTCACTATTAACAAAATATGCCGTATGGTATCCAAAGCAATAAATTTATAACGTATGCTACCATTTTTATATTGAAAAGCATTGTGGATTATTTCTTATAGACGATTTTTCAATTTCACATGGGGAACGGTGGTATACAGGGTTGAAAAATTAAAAGTTTTGATAGAATTAATATCAGAAAAAGATCGAGATTTAAAAATAACAAGAAGTTCTTTAGAGTTTTTAGAATCCACATATGGTAAATACCACTACCGAGTAAACAGTTTCACAGTATTTCTGAAGACCCTCTTTCACTGCGTACAAAATTTTTGTCAATCTAATTGACAATTCCTTTGTAGAACATAAAGATGAACCGGCAGTGTACCGTTGTTTGTGCGAAATTTTGGGAAGCTTAAGTATCCAATACAAACAAGGTAAGTCCTCAGATTTGCTGTTGAATGTAATGTTCATTGAAGCCATGAAGGACTTATGATTCGCAGCCAAATTGACTCCATGCAATCATTTAACACACCAAATATGGTTGAAATATTGTTAATAGTATCTGAGAAATAGACATAACGAAGAAAACTTAATATTGACCAAAGATCCTTGAAAAAGAGGGCAAGGTCAGATGAACCCTGCCAGACAAAAGCGTTCTCCTTGCAATCTTTCCATATACCAAATATGGCTGCCCAATTGCATATTTTGTCCGAGAAAAAGAGCAAACCACAAAAATATAACATTGTATAATGAATAATGAAACAAGGTCAAGGTCAAGATGAAACCTGTCAGTCGGATATGTACAACTTACAATCATTCCATAGACCAAATATGGTTGACCTATTGCTTATAGTACCTGAGATATAGTCTTTACCACAAAAACTTAATCTTGATCACTGATCCATAAAATGAGGTCGAGGTCAGGTGAACTCTCAGGTTGTCTGACGGACATGTAGATCTTGCAAGGATCCCGTATACCAATAAACAAAACTTTCATGAAAACTCCTCAAAGCACTTTAAGGATATTGTCCGAAAACTGGAAAATCACCCCTTTTTTATGAATAAAATCCCATAACACGGAAACGTAAAATCTAAAATTTATAAAAATCGAAAGGGAGCTCATGGCAATAGATATAAACAATTCACCAAAGTTTCTTGCAAATTGGTGAAAGTGTTTTACAGTTTTTTTCCGAAAACTGGAAAATCTCCCCTTTTTGATGAATAAAACCCCATAACACGGAAACGTAAAATCTAAAATTTATAAAAATCGAAAGGGAGCTCATATCAATAGATATAAACAATTCACCAAAGTTTCTTGCAAATTGGTGAAAGTGTTTTACAGTTTTTGTCCGAAAACTGGAAAATCCCCCCTTTTTAATGAATAAAACCCCATAATTCGGAAACTTAAAATCTAAAATTTATAAAAAAAACAAACGGGAGCTCACGTCAAAAGATATAAACAATTCACCTAAGTTTCATGCAAATTGGTTAAAGTGTTTTTGAGTTATTGTCCGACATGTTAACGACGGATTGACAGATGGATGGACGGACGGACAATGGTATACATAATACGTCCCGTAAACGGGCGTATAAAAATCGATATTCTATTACCAAGTGAGTATTTCACATGACAAAAAAAAATGAGCAGTCACTGAACCATGAAGATAAGGTCAAGGACAATGGACATATGACAGACGGAAACTTCGTTATACAAGGCATCTGCACACAAGATATGAAGCATTCATGTCTTCTTCTTGGTGAAATAAAGCTTTATATAAATACATATGTAGTTTAAGTAATTGCCTCTGGATAGTAATCCCTGTATGTTGCATATTGCAACTTTCGTCACAGGTGAGACAAAAAATGTACCTGGAGTCTGCTTTCTATACCCAAATCCGCATGACAGCTGTAGGCAACTATAGGTAACCTTATGGCCTTCAAAATGATCAAAACCTAAACAGTATAGTAACCTATGACCTGACAAAATTTAAACAATCAAAATAAAAAAACAGCCTAATTTATGACAAAACAATGTACGAAAAATCATTTTGACAGTAAACAACAACAACCTCTGAATTACAGGCTCATGACTTTGGATAAGCACAGATTGTGGTGTAAACTAATCACACATTAATCATTGGTCCAGGCAACAAGCATAAACTAGAGAGAAAAGCAGACCCCCTCAGTGTCTAGGTTTTACACATCAAATGCACTAATTACTTTTAATATGTAATTCCTTACAGACACAAACTGAATTCTTTATACATCTTAAAACAGTTAAATCTTTTATACAATATTCAACATTATACACAATGACAATAAATATGACATAACAGCAGTTCCATTATATTTTCTGTAAAATCCTATTCTGCTTCATTCTAGCTTGTCTAATGTCTAAAGTTTTCTGTAATTGTCCTGGTAATTCTGTATTTGTAAAATGATCTGCAAAATAACATTAAAATGATTAACAACCATATAGGGTTTCCCCATGGTCAATTTTATTTTCGGCACCTTTTACCAGGATTCATTATTAATCAGTTTATTAGATTCTTCTTGTCTAGTTAAAGGACATAGAATATGACCTGATATTTTTGAACAATTTCTTCAAACACAGTTTTTTTGGGGGGACAATCTTTAAATAAGAAAAGTTGAGATGTAAAACTATGCTTAAAACATTTGGGCCACTTAAAAGATTGTGGAGTATGCAATTCAACACAATTATTGTCATTCAATTGTAAAAACAATTCTTTAGGTGACATGTGACACATTTTAACACACATTTTCATTAAAAAATATAATTAACACCTTTATTAGTTAGTAAATTTTTGCCGATTGCTATCATATGCAATCAGCTGATTATTGACTTTTTTGTCAAAATCAAAACGTTTGACGAGTTAAAGATGAAATTTGCGTATTGTCTAATCGGGGAAAAAAGTCTGGGAAACCCGAAACAATATTAATAAGAATGACTTCAAACCATTATATTTCTTTCATCAATCATGATCTTTAATCGCCACATTTATTAATATTTTGCAAAAATACGATAAAACAACTGAGCAGGGGGTATAATAAACCACTATATTGGTGTAATATTTGTACAATTTCTACTTAAAAAGGTGCTCTTGTTTTCAATTTTTCTAATATCTTAATTGAGCTCTTTTACGGGTACATCTACAAGAAATGACAAGAATCGGGTAACAAAAAAGAAGGATGTCAATTAGACTAAACATTGGGTTAATATAAATATAGTGTTTCTCTCAATTCTCTTAAACAATGTAGCTGTATTATAAGCTAAATGGCTTAAACAAATTACCTGGATTTACTTTCAGAAATTTTACAACTGACATCGTACATAATAACAAGTTGAAAGGTTTGATTGAATCAAAATTATCACTTGAAAAGTTTCGGAAGATTAATATAGCCATTATACTCTAAAGTCCTATTTTCAATGAAAAAGATACAAGCTTTTTGTTATTGTGTGTCTGCTCTGCAAAATCCCTTTTTAATCACCCTATCTTGCCTTCACATTGTTTCTTTTTTGGTTTTTCACATTTTTGGGATGTTTTGGTAGAAATGATGAAGTTATGAACACAAGAGTGCACACGCTGAAATGTCTCGCCTTCTTTACTAACCATTGATATTATGTTGATAGTCCTAAATATAAAGCTTTACTACAACTATCACATTAACTTAACATGATCCAAGTAAATGAGGTCAAGGTCATATAAACCAAACTAGAAATACATGTACACCTTATAATCATTCAATACACTAAATATAGTTGACCTATTGCTTATAGTTTCTAAGAAACAGACTTAACCAAGAAATCTAAACATTGACCAATGAACAATCTTTCAATCAGTTTAAATGAGGTCTGGAGCTGGCATGTCAGTAACTGCTAGTAGTCTGTTGTTATTTATGTATTATTGTCATTTTGTTTATTTTCTTTTGTTTCCTATTCTGACATCGGACTCGGACTTCTCTTGAACTGAGTTTTACTGTGCGTACTGTTGTACGTTTGTTTTTTCTGCATTGGCTAGAGGTATAGGGGGAGGGTTGAGATCTCAAAAAACATGTTTAACCCCGCCGCATTTTTGCGCCTATCCCAAGTCAGGATCCTCTGGCCTTTGTTAGTCTTGTATCATTTTTAATTTTAGTTTTTTGTGTATAATTTGGAGTTTAGTATGACGTCCATTATCACTGAACTAGTATACATATTTGTTTAGGGGCCAGCTGAAGGACGCCTCCGGGTGCGGGAGTTTCTCGCTGCATTGAAGACCCATTGGTGGCCTTCGGCTGTTGTCTGCTCTATGGTCGGGTTGTTGTCTCTTTGACACATTCCCCATTTCCATTCTCAATTTTATTTGTATCGATCTAATGAGTTCAGCCATTTTCAACTGTTTTTTTATAGTTTGTTCTTATGTTCTGCTGTAATATTACTGTCCCAGGTTAGGGGAGGGTTGAACGCTCACAAAAATGTTTAACCCCACCAGTCTTTATGTGTCTTTCTCGAGTCAAGAGCCTGTAGTTCAGTGGTTGTCGTTGGTTCATGTCTGTCATATTTGATTTTCGTAAATTGTTTTGTTATGAATTAGGCCGTTAGTATTCCCAATTGAATTGTTTCATTTTTTCATGTCGGACACTTTTGTAGCCGAATATACGGTATTGGTTTTTCTCATTGTTGAAGGCCGTACAGTAGCCTATAATTGCTTACATCCACTTCATTTGAAATTGGGTGGACAGTTGGTACTCATACCACATCTCCAATTTTTTAAATGAATGTTCTATGCTGGTAATTTGGTCATGATTGGTGATGGTGATCGTTGGAAAAATGTAAACAAAGACGAAAATGATGAGTTTTGAGGTTTTGTTGAATAATATATGAAAAGAAATAGTTGAGATGTTTTAAATTTGTTTCTTATGGGGTCAAAGGCAAGCAACTAAAGAAACTTGCTCTTTAAAGTGCTTTTTGTATGCATAACACAAAAGTGCTAACTTTTAGAACAGTGCACACGCTGAAATTTCTCGCCTGCTTTACTTATTGTGATTGAAAGTCTGTACAAGATTTAATACACGTATCATACAAATTTCACATTATCAATGTTCCATGTTATTGAGGTCATTGTAAGATGAACCCTACCAGACGAACATGTACACTTTATAATCATACCATACACTATATATAGTTAGCTTATTGCTTATAGTATATAGGAAACAGACCATATTACGAAAACTGAATATTGGCCAATGAACCATAAAAATGAGGTCACGGTCAGATGAACACTGACAGACAATAATTTTACCATACAATCATTCCATTAACAAAATATAATTGTCATATTGCTTATAGTATCTGAAAAATAGAAATAATCAAGAAAACTTAATATTGACCAATGAACCATGCTACGAGATCAAGGTCATATAAACCCTGCCAGATAGACATGTTCACCTTACAATCATTCATACACCAAATATAGTTAACATATTGCTATCTAATAAAAGCACTAAACCATGTAACCTTAACATTTACCAATGAACCATGAAAATAAGATGAAGGTCAGACAAAACCATGCCAGTCAGACATATAAACCTTACAACCATTCCATACACCATATAAAGCTGCCCTATTGCTTATGTTATCTGAGAAATAGAGCTAACCACAAAAAACTTAACATTGTACAATGAACCATGAAAAGGGTCAAGGTCAGATTGCAAGACGGACATGTATACGTACACCTTACAACATTCCATAAACCAAATACAGCTGATCTATTGCTTATAGTATCTGAGAAACAGACCATACCACAAAAACTTTACATTTACCAATCAACCATGAAAACGAGATAAAAGTCAGATGAAACCTGCCAGTCGGCTATTTACACCTTACAATCATTCAATACACCAAATACGGACATGACAACAAAAAAATAACCTTGATGACTGATCCACGAAATGAGGTTGAAGTCAGATGAACCCTGTTTTAGGTTGAAGTCAGACGAACACCGTCTGACAGACATATAGACCTTGTAAGGATCCCATATACCAAATATAGTTATTCTTATACTCATTATATGTAAGTTATGCATATAACATAAAAAAAATATGTATTTTTTTCAAGCAGTCGCTGAACCATGAAAATGAGGCCAAGGAAAAGTTTTTTGTGATATTTTTAATATTGCAAAAATTTCGACAGGAAAGGTTTCCAAAAAATAATTTTTAGTTTTGTTTACTTTTCAACATTTGCAATTAAACATGCACACGTATATGTAAAATGTTACATACAACCATCAAAGATCTCTTCTCTCTATAGAGTTCACAGAAACAATAAAAATGAAAAAATCTTGTCACAAGGTTTTTATTATTGCAACAAAATAGGATTCCCATTTTTGTCCACTGGTCACATTTGCAATGATAAAAACATGCAAAAATTTCTTAATTCACAGTAAATAAATCATGTTCTTTCAGAATAAACCAAACCATATGGAAGTAATCTAGTAAGGCATGTTTTGTGAAGATGGTTATCATATCATGCAAGTAACTGCTGGTACTTAATAATTGGTACAGGTCACCAGTGTATACAAAATTCTGGTAATTTATCATAGGTACATGTCACCAGAGTAAAGAAATTCTGGTACTTATATCATTGGTACATGTCACCAGAATAAACAAATTCTGGTACCTAATCATTGGTACATGTCACCAGAATAAACAAATTCTGGTACTTAATCATTAATACAAGTCACCAGAGAAAACAGAGTGCTGGTACTTAATGATTGGTTCAGACATAAACAAAAGAGAAAAACAGACCCCCTTACAAGACCAGGCAAGGAGTTATGTTTTTACACACCAAACCAACTAAATGCTTAATATATTACTCATTGCAGACACAAACTGAGTTTTTTTTTCATATCTTAAAACAGTTTAATGTTTTATACAATATTCAACATTATACACAATGACAATAAATATGAAATAACAGCAGTTCCGTTATATTTTCTGTAAAATCCTATTTTGCTTTATTCTAGCTTGTCTAATCTCTAATGTTTTCTGTAATTGTCCTGGTAATTCTGTATTTGTGAAATGATCTGCAAAATAACATTAAAATAATTAACAACCATATATGTTTTTTTCTTTGCCACCTTTTACCAGGATTCATCTTTAATCAGTTCATTGGATTCTTCTTTAAGGACAAAAAAAATAATCTGAGATTTTTTTTACTTTTGAACAATTTCTTCAAAACAAGAGTTTTCTTTTCAGGACAATCTTTAAAAAGAAAAGCTGAGATGTGAAACTATGCTTAAAACATATGAGTCACTTAAACGATTGTGAAGTATGCAATTGAACACAATTAATTTCATCAAATTGTAAAAACAATCCTTTAGGTGACATGTGACACATTTTAACACACATTTTCATTAAATTATATAATTTTAACACACTTTAATACATTAGTCAATTGTCGCTGATAGCTATTTGTCAAAATCAATACGTATGACGAGTTCAAGGGGAAATTCAAGTAATGTCTGATCGGGGAAAAAGTCTGGGAAACCTGAAACTAAATTATTAATAAGATGGATGAAGTCAAACCATTATAATTCTTTCACCTATCATGATTTTTAATTGCCACAATTATTATTTTTTTGCAAACTAAGATAAAACAACTGAGTAGGGGGTATAATAAACCACTATATACTGGTCTGCAGCTGTGCTATTTGCGCAGTTAAATTGCATTGACTGTATATTCATTTGTGATATACAGTCACTGACCGTATATCGCCTTGTTTTATGACGTTGAAAATTCATTTCCGTACAGTTTTATTTATGACGTCAATAAAGAATACTGGTTCGCCGAAATTTTGTCATCCGCTCCAAATTAAAAAATGATGGTTTTTACCCTAAATATTTCATTTGGAACAGTTATAGGAGTTGCAGTATATAAAGAATAACTATACATTGTCTCGAAATAAAAATTCTATTTGTACTCTGCTCAAAACAGGATAGAAATGCTGGGCAAAGACTCACTTTCTACCTGTTTCTAAGCCTTGTACAAATAAAATTTATATTTCGAGACAATATATGGTTATTCTATATATATAGGTGTAATATTTGTACAATTTCTACTTAAAAAATTTGTAAGGGTTCCGCGGAACCCAGTGTCTCGCCTACTTTTGCTGTTGTTTTACTTTTACGACTTTTGTCGCAGGCTCAACAAAAATGGGGAAAAAATTATAAAAAATTTTCCTCTAGATACACTATCTTTTGATTGTAAGAAGCTTCTGTCGAAGTTTGGTAAAAATCCAGGATGGTTTATGAATCTAATAAATGTTTTAAAAACTTTAACTGCAGACTGTATGTAATGTTAACTGGATGAAAAACTAAGTCCATTTAAAAGTAATATACGGGAAAACAGGAAATAAATTTTTACAAAATTTCCTTCTAGATACTAGCTTTTTATCATAAACAAGCTTCTGTCCAAGTTTGGTACAAATCCAGGATAGTTTAAGAAAGTTATTAAAATTTTAAAAACTTTAACCACAGAGTGAATGTAATGTTAACTGGCATAAAAACTAAGTCCATTTATCAGTAAATACGGATAAACAGGATTTTTTTTTACAAAATTTACTTCTGGATACTATCTTATGATCATAACAAGCTTCTGTCCAAGTTTGATAGAAATCCAGGATACTTTAAGAAAGTTATTAAAATTTCAAAAACTTTAACCACAGAGTGAATATTTGTGGACGCCGCCGCCGACGACAATGTAGGATCACTATGTCTCGCTTTTGCGACAAAAGTCACAGGCTCGACAAAAAGTGCTCTTGTTTTCAATTTTTCTTCTATCTTAATTGAACTCATTTAAGGATGTCAATTAAACTAAAGCTTGGGTTAATATAAATATAGTGTTTGTCTCAATTCTCTTGAACAAAGTAAGTTAACAACTACAATGTAGCTGTATTATAAGCTAAATGGCTTAAAAAAATATACCTGGACTTACTTTCAGAAATTTTACAATTGACATCATACATAATAACAAGTTGAAAGGTTTGAATGAATCAAACTTATTACTTGAAAAGTTTCAGAAGGTAAATATAGCCATTACACTCTAAAGCACTATTTCCAATGAAAAAGATACAAGCTTTTTGTTATTGTGTGTTTAATTTAAATCTGCTCTCCAAAATCCCTTTTAAGGTGGCTGGGGGGTCTTAATTAAAATCCATAGAATTTTTTAATAATTTGTCAAAATGAAGTTTTTATCATGCACTTTTCAAAAATACAATAAAAAGTATGGGTCACCGGACTTTTTTTCACGCTACAGGTTGTGCAAAATTGTCAGATTTTGTATAGATTATGCATGGAAAATCCAATTTTGTGTGATAAAAAGAAAACTACTCCATAAAATTTTAAGATAAAATGTGAGAAGGTAGCTCTTATAACATGCTTTCAGATAAGAAAAAGAAAAAATGGGGTCACCGGACTTGTTTTCTTGCTACATATTAAAATAGGTAAATTCACAACACTTTCTATTATAAAATTACTTTATCTGAGTTATCTCCCCTACTATCTGAGTTATCTCCCCTTATTTGGCAAAGTTGAAAAAAAATAATCAAACAAAAATATTGTGTTTTTTAGAAAATACAGCCATAAATATGATAAAACACACAATTTTCTATATTAACATTAAAAGTCTTACACATAAATTACATACTAATCTCAAAATTTGCACATTTCATTAAAGGTCTAGACCAATTGTAATCTGCTACTTCAAAATCCAAGATGGAGGAAGACACCCGAGCCACCTTAAATCAACCAATCTTGGCTTTCAAATTGTTTCTTTTTTGTTTTTCACATTTTTGGGATGTTTTGGTAGAAATGATTAAGTTATAAACAAAATTATAATATGCATATATAACTTTATAAAAAAAATCAACCAGGAATGCCTTTAAACATCTAAATAACAAAAAATGGTTTGATTTTAATATACGAAATGTACAATCAACTTTGCTCACCTGCAGCAAAATCTCTTATGTTTTCAGGTCTTTCTTTTAATACTTCCCTGAAATACAAATATATAGACATAGAGAAAATATTTGCCGGTAAATTGGTTTGGTTTGGTGTACAGTTTCATGTCACTTACAAATTATTATTGCATGTTTTATTGTAATGTTCAATATATCCAGATTTACATAAAAGCCTTTTTAATCATGCTAGTCATTTTAACAATTCAAAATATTTTCTTGTTCAAATATCAAACGTACATTTAAACAAAGGGATCAGACAAAAGGCAACGCCTATACAAATCCTTTCCCATACAAGATGGATTGAATAATCTGATAGTATATAATATATTTCTGATAATTCATAGATCATTCATAATGGCAGTGAGTCAGGGGAGGCAATTCCCCCACTTCTTTAAATATTTTATTGGGTATACATATATAAATAATAACTATGTGAACCCTTGCAAGATCACTACTAAAGATGATGCCAAATTTTATACCACATTAATAAGTTATGGTAATGAATCAAATAAATCGTTTAAGTAATATTTACTCAAATTCACAAACTCACTGCAGCAAAGTTGTTCTATTTGTATAAATAATAAGAATTATTGGCCCTTATTTTGCAATACATAAGTTATTTAGTATACCATCTTATTACAAAGACTGTTAATTTCTTGATTTTTTTATTACATAATTATTAATACAAAATATGAAATAAAATATTAATAAATTTATTTGCAAAAAGATGCTAACACAATTGATTGTTTTTTGTGTCAGATGTTAGGTTTGTCTTTAATCAAGACTAAAGAGTGGTACACTGTGGTTATAGACAAATTTTTAAACAGTTATATTATCACATGAAATATTATAAAAATCTTCCAGTTTCATGAATATATTGTTGGACATATGTAAATATCTCTGTGTTTCATCAATATTTAAATCTGAGCAACCCTGCAGTATGACATCAAGATTGACATTATAAAATATCCTCAGTTTTCGAAGGAGCTCATATCTCTGATAAATGTAAAATGGACAAACATAAAAGAAATGAAAATTATCTGGCTGTGGTTCGACACTGAGGAGTTGTAAATTCCCTTTTATTTCTCAGACCATACTGGACATTAGTGTTTACATACGACAAGACATCAGCAGCAATACAATTAGGAATATCTCCAGAAATGGTTTTATGAAGAAACAATAATTTGTTTTTCTGTCGCCTATTCTAGAGGGAATCCCAACCTAATTCCTTGTATAGTTTCCATCTAGGTGTTCCCTTTCGAAGCCCAGATACAATTCTAGCAGCATCTAGTTGTACAGATTCAATTAGATCTGATTCTTCTTTTGTACAGTTAGTCATTTTAACAATAATTTTATGAATATGTATGATGATGAAAAACTTACATTTATGTTAAATTAAGATGATATGCAATTTAAGACTGCCAAAAACTGCCACGATATATTATTTAAAAGAAAAAGTGTTTATGTATGTATCATGCTTGTATATACATAACTTTTATGTAAATCTGTTTTAATCAGTCTTTCATTACTCTTTTCTGAGTGGCTTATGAATATGCTACTGTTTTTACTTTTCATATATGTCAATGTAACAAATAGGTTTAATGCTTGTATAATACATTAGTTTTATGTATATATGATTTTAATCAGTCTCTTGTAACTCTTTTTAGAGTGGCTTATGTATATGCTGTTGTTAACCTTTTATATAAGTATGTGGTTTATATACACATGAAGTATGACTTTAATAAAGTATTTGTTGTTGTTGTTTACTATAAAGAAACAGGAAGTATAGCCTGCCATTGAAATGAGTGAAGCTATGTTTATAACTAAAATTTAGTGCTGATATTCTGTAGTAATCTGTAAATACAATATCAATCTATAACACAGATCATGCCAGATTATATAGATATAAGAAGATGTGGTATGAGTGCCAATGAGACAACTCTCCATCCAAGTCACAATTTGTAAAAGAAAACCATTATAGGTCAAAGTCTGACCTTCAACACGGAGCCTTGGCTCACAACGAACAGCAAGCTATAAAGGGCCCTAAAAATGACTAGTGTAAAACCATTCAAACAGGAAAACCAACCGTCTAATCTATATAAAAAACGTTTTAATAGGCGCCAACCTTCACCCTAACCTGAAACAATAGTGTAACATCACAACATAGAAGACACACAATAAAATATCAATTGCAATGGCTTAACTCAATCAAAAGACATATTAAAAAAAAACAAGTGAACATACACTGAACGAATAAATTTGATCTATGACACAATGTAAATACAAAATTAATAAAACAAGGGGGTTAGATGTAAAATAATATCAGAAAAACAACCATAACCTTGGACAAAAAGCCGCCAAATAAAATAACGTACACAGGTAAATAAAAATAATTTTGTTGTAAGGTATACATGGAGTACGCAAAATATTTTTTACAAAATAAATAATTTTGTTGTTCATAGTACGAGAACAGAAGTTAAAATTTATCGTCATACTAAATACTTATCAAAGGTGGTAAATATTAAAAAAAGTGAGACGAGATATAACACTAAATAAGTAAACATTAAATAACAAATATACATTACAAATTGTATCAACAGGTCAAATAACACGAAAGTACGATTTGAGAGTACTCGCAGTTACTGAAAGCTAGTTAAAAGCCAAAAACAATATATTTATTTACAAAGAAGAATTTTGTATATATTTTACTGGCCTAATACATTTGCCATTTTCATATCATGGTCATGGCAAAAAAAAAAACTGTAATGAAGAAATACTGCAGCAAGCTGCTGTACCTTGTTTTTTCCCACAAATAGTGGAAATCCACTACATATTTTGAAAAATATTTATACAAAATCAATCTACATGAACATTCATATTCCTAGTTGGTGACAATTATTTCCTGCCAACACATATGTATTCATTATATATATTGTCACTGTCATGACTAAGACATGTAGAAGATTGAATTAAATTATCATGATACAAAATTGGTAATTCTTAAATCCACTCTAATAGATCTGTATGTTTTATTGGGGCCTTTTGTTTTTCTTTCTTTTGAATTTAGGAACAAGTTATGTATGTTGGGAAAGTATGCAATTTTTATTTTATATGCCTGAAATAAAACGTGAAAGTAGCAACTGCTGGAATTAAAGTAAAATATGATTCACATTTTCAACACAAATTTTACATTGAATCTTTGGGTTTATAATTAAAGGAGTAGGGGCATTAAAGCCCGGTTTTGGTCCAAGAAAATTAAGATTTTGAGAACTATTTCAAATTCGCACATAACGTTTGGAAATGCATAAAATCAAGAATCAAAAATAAAATACATAAGTTTTTGATGTTATGACATCACAATTACATCATAATATGCACTATTTTCATGAAAACGAAACAAACTGCAGATTTTATGCAGTTTTCCATCGTTATTTCCTTTTTGGAAACATCATGGGCAGCCAAGAAACAACAAAATAATTTCAGAGAAGCCTCATCACAACTATTGACATGATCTCACCAATTATAAAGTTGTTTCTTGGGTGCGTACATACTTTTCCAATCCAATATATACTTAAAAGTTGATGTACAAATGTAAAATAAGGAAATTCAAGAAATTTTATCATATATTCAATTTTCGTCATGGTTTGTTGCCATGGTAACTCTTTAAATGTGCAAATTGTATTATTTTTTTAATTCCTTGTACCTTAGTGTAATTAGGACAAATTTAAGAATATTTATCGTGGCTTTTCAATTTGCACTTATATTTGGTATTAAGGGCCTTATAGCTCCACACTCATTTGCCAAATTAGGTGTAACAAGGCATTTTTTATTCTAATTCAATTTACATTAGTAAATTTTGAATGAATTTCTTTAAACAAAATTTATTTGAAATTTTGTCTTTTCAAAATTGTGCTGAAAAATGAATAGATAATAATCAGTTAACATAAATATAAATTTATATAAATATATCCACAACCCCTTTCAAAATGTTCCGTCCATTACACATTACCATGATTACAGGTACATTGTACATGTTGGTGGCTTAGTAGGTGAGGTCACTTAAATAACTCCATCTAAACATACCCAAGAAATCCTGATAATAAGCATTCTACTTCTGGGTGGTCTCTGAGGTATTTTTCATTTTCTACTCTGGTCTTTTTCTGCAATAGACACAATGTATATTAATACATACATGTAACAGAATATTAAAGTTGATGTCCACCTCTGAAATGTCTATAAAAGTCTTAATAAAGGATTACATATTCAGAACTCAATTATACTTTGATTGATCATTGTTGTATTCCTAGTTTTTTTAGCTAATTTTTCTCAAATGATTCTCAAATCTTTAATTTTTTCCCTTCTTATTCTTATATGTTGTAAGACCTATTCATTTCATTCTTTTACCTGAACCCTCATCTATAAAGTAATCAATGTATTTTCTGAAATGTAAGGAATTGGACTTTCAATGTTTGTCTCTATAAAGATACATATTCATTGTACATGCATGTATACCCTTCAAAAAAGATGGTTCTCCATTGCCAGTATAATTCTTTGTTTTTCTTATTGAACATGTTTTCTTGCTAATTGTGTCGAACTACAGTCAAACCTGCCAAAACCGACACCTCAGTTCAGCAGTCACCTGCCTCTAACGGCCACTTTCAAACCCTCTCAAACGTTTTCTCTATATAATTTCAATTCTTTCCAGTGGCCACCTGGCTAAAGCAGTCAGCAGTCTTCTTATTTTCGCATGTTTCAACTTTGAACAATGGTCATTTTAACTACCAAAATAATCATGACAAAACATATATGTCATAATGTGTTCAGTATCGAAGTCAAAATAAAAATCTGAACCCGTTTGCTACCAAGACCATGAATAGGAGGCAAGAATTCCTCGTGTTCAATTCCTTTCTTTTTCGATTTAAAACCCAGACTTACTTCTCCACAAATATTAACATATTTCTAATGTTTTCTTCAGCAATTTTTTATTTTACTGCCACAAGAACCATAACTCTACCAATTAAAAACACTAAAACAATTTGTCCCAATCCAACTCATGGGCGATGTCAGAATTGGACTGCTTAAGGGAGCTACCATTTGATTTTTATGGGGGGGCTAGGATGAAAAATTTTGTCCTTACTATTTATTTTCCCCTCTTTTTCGGTCCTGCCTTTTTATTTTTCACTCTATTCAGTCCTGCCTTTTTTTTTTAGTTTATCCTGACATTTTTTTTACATAAATTGTCATCCTGTCTTTTTTTTTTTGCAAATAATCTCATCCTGCCTTTTTTTTTACTCAAAAATCCTGTCCTGCCTATTTTTTTCAAATTTCATCCTAGCCCCCCCATAAAAAATCAAATGGTAGCTCCCTAATACAGGTTTGACTGTAATTCTAATCCCCTTAATCACCTACATTGTTTGTGTTACGTAATTTAATTATCCATTTGAATATATTGGGTTGCAATCATTTAATAATTATTTGGCTTCTTTGACACATTTACACAAAATGTATTGCAGGTAATAGATAAACATGCTTATGCAAACAGATTTTCGATATTCTCTGCCTTAATACAGTTAGTGTGAATCAATCTTGTGATCATAATTATTTTTGACTCTCTTCAGCCTGTCATTATGCATAGCAATGAATGAAAACAAAAGTAAATTTCTAGTTAAAATATTGACAAGCACGTTTTCAGCTACTTTTTGATAAGGATCATTCTGATGATAACAGGACTCAGCTAGTGTTATCAGGATGCATCCATCCCCCAGAAGCACGGGTTCATTAAATGACACCTCCAGACAGAAAACCATGCGTCAAGGACAGATGTATGCACCTTAACAAGAACCCTGGTAATAGCCATTTTAATAACAGTTACAGTTTTTGGGTTCTTCTGAAAAAAGCTTTTCCAACTGCACCTATTTATCAAGTACAACGATTCCCTGAGAACTCTGAAAAACTCAATATGAAAATGATAACTGATAGATATTATTGCTTTCATTGATACATGTGTATTAAACAGTAAAAATTTTAGATATTTGTTATTTTAACTATAATCTAACCTCTGGAATTCATTATTGTTCAGGGATCTCCATGGATGAGAATTTAACGATGGAGGAACTTTGACCATGACAAAACCCCATGTCTACGGTGTGGCGTGATCCAAAGTATAGCATTCCTCCATTTCCATGTAAGGAATGGTGAACAGGCTGACATATTGCTTATTATATTTATTTCATTATAGAATAACAAATATTTTCATTAATTGTCATTTGTAACAATTCCAATGCCAACCCTCATGGCTCCCCTTAGTCAAGAATGACCACAAGCTGTCCTTAAGGTTCCAAAGTCGTTTCTTGCTATTTTGGTGATTGTTTAGGGCTTAAAAATCAGGGGGATCTTTTTTCACTGTCAAATTCAGAAGTCATGAACCGGTATCGAATATTTGCAGCATCAACAACAAGAAGTTTCATACCTGTTTTGTAAAAAGTTGAAGGATTTGGAGGGTAAAGGTTTACAACTTAAAAGGTTTTAATGGCTTTAAATTGCAAATTTCATAGTTATATATATATATATATACAATGCATCATGCATCTTTCGATTCTGAATGTAAACCGGATGTATCAATTTCATTGTAAAAAAAAATGTAAACTACGAAATGAATTCGGAATTACGATACGAAATTTTATTCAGATTATCAAGTTGCAGCTAATATTCATGTATTTACTTTTAAACTTGTAAAGTGATTCGAAATTATCGATAATTTGCTGTACTCGTGTTATTTTACGTCTTATTTTGTAATCGTTTAAAAAGGGGGATGCTGATTGCGTAAGTAAATATGAAACCATGTGTTTGACTTGTTAAACTTTTTTCTTTGTCACTGGATTTAAAAGCTATTTCTTATTCTGAATTTTCATTAGCAATTGCTGAAACCTAATTAAATAATGCAATAAATCGTCTATCATGATAAAGTGATCTCCTGTCAGGTGTGTCGATCTACCTGAACAAGTGATTAGCAATCTGTAGCCGGATATCCCTCAGGGCTTCAAAACTGTAACCAGGAGGACCCTTTGAATTATAATACTATAAGCCTAAGGGTTATGCAATTACATGCAATTGATTATAATTGCTAACAAAAATGGCGGCATCTAGCGAAATGAAAATAAATTTTGGCAATGGTGGGGATTATTTGTCTATGGCGGAAGATAATTTAACGATGGCGGAAGATATTTTAAAAATGGCGGAGGGCCATCATAAAACAGGTCATGGAGATCGCTGATTGTTCTCAGAGTAATTTTCCAGGTGTAAAAACAGCAATTTTCTTCACAGAGCCCTTGATGACACAGGCACTTGTTTCTATCCATGGGAAGATTCACTATCAACGTATATTTACGTAAATATATGTTGATATCCCATGGATAGAAACAAGTGCCTGTGCTTGATGAACCTTAAGGTTCAAGTGGACCCTTTGGCTAAAATGGCTGTGTTTTCACCTCAAAATTTACTCTGAGTACAGACAAACCTGTGCATCTGAAAAAGTTTTAAGGCATAGCATGCCCTAGATAAATAAAATTCAAATGCATTGTATGTTTTAGAAAATTTAAAACTTAACTGGACTTTTTTTCGTCCCTGCAGAAGAAAATTAACAAACAGTTGAGTTTCACTTGATATGGTCCACTCAGGTACACAGTTTAAATCACCAATTATTGTCAGGTATCTATTGTCCATGTCAATCAATACAGTTCACTTCTATTATTACCTGTGGGGAAGTTCTCAAACCTCTTTCACAACTTAGTTTATTTTGGCACCTTCTGGAGGAATGAAAAAAGTGCACTGCAAAATCCTGTTAAGTTATTAATTAATTTTCTAAAACATAAAATATATTTGAATTTTATTTATCTAGGCCCGTAGTCTAGGGCATGCTATGCCTTAACACTTTTGGGAAGAGTTCCATATGGCACCTCCACGGAATAAACTGTAATACATTATTGTGTTCTTTCATATGGAACTCTTACCACACTTTTCCAGATACACAGGTTTGTCTGTACTCCGAGTAAATTTTGAGGTGAAAAAACAACCAATTTTAGCCAAAGGGTCTACATGAATCTTAATCACTATATATTTAGCAGGTGTCCGAAATAAAATTGGACAACATGTGTGAGATCAACTAAAATTATTATTTGAGAAAAGATGAAGTGGATGGACCGGCGGAGGGCCTGGGTGTTTATGTAAATTTATGAACAGTGCTGTACAAATGTTTATCTCATTATTTAAACCTTGAAATCGTTCAGTTTCTGTTGTTGTTCTTTGCTAAGTGCTCCCAAGTCATCTCCACCACCTAAATCGTATGGTTCCATCCCATGGGGAGGCTTATGTTTTGGTTGTTCTGTCATTTTTCTTTTTGAAAAAAGTCTGTTGTTTTTGTTGTTGTCCAGGGAGCTTTTTGATGTAAGCGACACAGCACTTACGATAATGAAAAAAACTGTATAACTTATTACCCAACAAACGTTTGTAAAAAGCAAATCACCACAACGTACTCAAAAGAGAGGCGGAAGCTAAGATAACAAATGGATAGATCAAACACTCAATAACATAAGTCGATGACAAACTGACAACACCATTTGGTGGGGGTTTGAGATCGACCAAAGTGTTTTGAAGTGTTCTTTAAAGGTGTAGGATGTAGTGTATTGGCATGGAAATAACCCGTTTTAGTCGGTTAAGTTTACAAATTTGTTTTTGAAAAAAGCTATCTCTGTTTTATTGAAGTTTTCATCCAATTTTCTTAAATGTTATAAATAAGTAAATAATTAACCAAGTAACTTGGGGGAAAACTGTATTTTAAGTCGGCATACGTGTTCACCAGAAGAACTCGTTTCTAACGGGTTGGATACATCATGCGGTACAATGATCCAGAGACATAAAAAGAGTTGTTAGCATGATTCATTTTATCTGTATAATATAGAATTAAGAACATGGTGTACGATTATCGACGATACAACTTTCCAACAGAGACTAAAGGACGTAGGTGTAACGGCAACATTGACAAAGGTATCATTTAATTCATTTTTACTTAATATAAGTATTCATCATCATTTTTTTAGTTACTAAAGTCATGTTCAAATCTAATGCAATAATTTCACTATTCGAATCAAGACCCATATGGCATTTACAAGCAACAATATCATTTGTTTTTAATGTCAAGTTTAGTAAATGGGCTCTGTCAAAGAATTTAGTAAAATTTTGCATATGGCATTTACAAGCAACAATATAATTTGTTTTTAATGAGTTATAGTAAATGGACTATGTCAAAGAATTTGGTAAAATTTTGCATACATCTTCGGCTCGTTGAAATATAACTGAAAATCGAAAAAAAATAATGCACTTTAATTCTCCAATTTCAACATGAGTACATAGATTTTTCTTAAAAACTATATGTTATTGCCGGGTACATAAATTTACGTTTTAATGTAAAATAATACTGGGGTCACCAAATTTGTTTTTACGGTATATATCATTCAAAGTAGTGTTCTAGGTGAAAAAATACCACAAAAGGTCGAAATAAGCGTGACGTCGTCGTGTTGCTTGGTCGTAAAACGTCGATTTTTGACGCTTTTCACTACAGCTAAGTAACGGATAGGTTAATTTCTGTATCAAAAGTCAACTTTCTGACAATTGTAAAAAAGAAGTCGGTGACCCTATGATTATTTAATATCCTTGACCTTAAATGCATAATGAAAGCAGAAAATATATTAGAGACATATTTGTCTCTGATAAAAGCAAACAAACACAATTATATACAGTCACAGTACCTAGTCGTGTTGTACATTATCAGATATATTATTACAGAATAGTACCGGAGTGGGTACCATATCTATCTCTACTCGCTCACTCGTCGAAGTTGTTAAAAGCATGCATGTCATAAAGTCACGGATCTTATTTTACTTTGATCGTATAAAAATAGTTTTTTTTTTCTAAAATGATATATTCTATATAACACAATCTATTCAATTAAGATTTTGTTCCACAAAACTCATCTCTGGTTTAAATTTCATGCAAAAGAAGCGTTCTCCGTTTTTCTTCTTGTGCGTTTATATCATTTGCAATTAGTTAGTTATTCAATACAAGATATTAAAGAATTTCATTCCTACTTTTGATTTGACGTCATATTTAAAAATAGCTAAATACAAATGTAGAGATTTTGACGTTGAAAATTGACGTTTGGCTTAAGCATTTGATTTTTCAGACGATAATGTATTAGGGGAAAAAAACTCGATATAATGATGCTTTTAATAGGCAAATTTTAAAGAAAGCAGAAAAGAATTAAAACTCGAGATTAATTTAAATAATGAAAAATTAATCCGTGGAATCGTTATTTGAACTTAGGTGAAAGGTGTGAAGAACCCCATAACTTTTCCCCCTGTCTTCTTATAAAAAATATATCTTTTTTTTCATATATGTAATAACACGCATAACTAATAAAAGAGAGGCGATAGATACCAAAGGGACATTCAAACTCACAAGTCGAAAAATAAACTGACAATGCCATGACTAAAAAAGACAAAGACCAACAGACAAACAACAAAACACAACATAGAAAATTATAGACTGAGCAACACGAACCCCACCAAAAACTGGGTATGATCTCAGGTGCTCCGGAAGGGTAAGCAGATCCTGCTCCACATGTGGCACCCGTTGTGTTGCTCATGTTAGTACAAACCTGGTAATAAGTCTAATGCAGTAGGTCACATTCGTGGGAAAGGGGACGGGATTGTAGTAACGACATTTGGAACATATTCGCTATCATCCGTGAAACGGATATTCCATAACGGTCAACCAACTCGTGATGGCGTACGTAAAATTAACGAAGGGACGATTTCAACTTCACCACTTGGAACTCTTGGTTTAATAGCTTCCTTGTGAGCAGCAACCCTCTATCAAGGGAATCATGAAAGGAAATACAAGCCCTGGAATATCGTATCAACTGGGAAATATATACTCCGTATGCAGACGCTGCGGGAATGTTGCAACACAGAAATAGATAGTTCACAATTGGAAGGCTGAAATCATCTCTTTTGTCGTAAAGTTTTGTTTTCAACCGATCCTCATTGTCAAATTCTAGATGTAATAGAAAAACAATGGATATGGGGTATCCATCCATTGGGTAAGTCAGGATATGAGGCAGACTAATTAACTGCGTTCAACATAGTTACCAAATTTTGAATTATTTAGTAAGAGAACATCAACTATATAGCTGAAAGTAAATATAAAGGATACTGCTAACTTCTTTTCTTTCTTCCAGTCCTATTATGTATTGTCATTAGTGAAAAAGGTTAATTCAAAACCCCACTTTTAGTTGTGAGTACTAGAAACTCTTGACCAGTTAATTTCTGTATCAAAAGTCAACTTTCTGACAATTGTATTATTTTGTCTATCTGGGAAATTCACAAGAAATGGCATCTTATTTGTATTTATTTTTACTATGTAAGAGTCTACTAGTCAAGCATGCTCGTAAAAATAGGAAATCAGCAAAACCAATGTGTTTTTTATGTTATTTTGTATTTCAGAAAAAAAAATATAAACATTACAAGATTCAGCATATAAATGGGTATAAATTATGCCGATGAAAATTTGAAACCAGCAAAATTGATGTTCTCAGATGATAAACTTTACATGTTATGAAACCCTCTCTTTCTATAAATATATATGTATAAGACAGCCTTTGTTTGGGAGATATGACGACTTTCTGCAATAATATAAACATTTCAATGAGACAATGTTTGATATTCAAGACCATTGGTTTGTTGTCTTAAACTTGTTTAAACTTTACACGTATTTTCTGGTGTGAACTATTAAAAGCTACAAAGTTATCCGTCACGTAGGACATCTTTGTCCAATATACTTCTGAACAAAACAATCTGAAAAGAGGGTAGAGTTTGAACATGACGCAGAGATGGTAATTTGTGAATTTAAATTGATTGTTTGGTTTCTGTATGCTGACCATACAGTGGCAAATGGTGCACGAATGTTCAAGACGAGAACAGATTAACAATATATGATAGGTATATGTTCTAAAAAGTAGGTAGACGTAGGACGGCAAATTCATAAACGATGATGTGTTTGATAAAGACATCATTTTTGTCTTGCAGCAAAGGGTTCTTTAACTTGCAGATATTGTACAACCAGCCTACAAGAGATTTAAAGTCATCATTCCGACAGCATAAAATAATTTACACATTTTTCCAAATCTAAACGGACTCCCCTCTTCCACATATATAAGAATATTTATTGTCCCTTGATGGGCAGCATGAAATTTATACATACAGAACAATACCTTATGATTTGTAACAAAAACAAACATTGAAATGAAAAATAGATGTTCATATAGTTATATAGTTATATATATATTTCTTCATCTTATATAAATCATGGACATTTCATTCCAGACAGGACCAGAACCATAAAATCATTACAATAATCATCCTTATTAAGTATATTAATTTGCCGTTTCGTCTAACATCTAGACATTTAATTATTAATTATTTTAATAACATAATTCCTTAAATATTTAGGCAAAGCAAATTTTCATTAGTAAATTACCAAGCAAATGTTGCCTCATTTGAGAGATCTGAAAAGTTATGATTACTATTGCATGGGGAAGTCCAAATGATCATTTTTCTACACCCTAGTAAATCATTGAAGAACTGCAATCGTTTTGTCTTGCTGCCTGGGCAGAAGCCATGTTGTCTATAATACACTACAGAGGCCTAGGAGCATTACGGTTGAATTATATATCTCATCGGGACATTTAGTTCTATAACTTCTAACATTTAACTTAACGTTGGTTAAAATGATAAACCGAATTGATCATTTTAATAACCATATGTTTAAATATTATAGATGCTTGAGACACAATCAATATATGTGTCCTATCGGAAAAGATCCAGACACTTAATGCATCAATTTGTCAATGAATACACGAGTACATCATCATAGCCTTCATTGCGATGCATGGTCGACTCCTTATGAATACCTGGTGAATAAAAGCCTAGTTTTATTCTAAATATACAGTATATGAAAACCATACAAACTAAATATAAGGTTAAATAACGGGAATACAAAACGAAAATCTAACAGAAAGAAGAGAACAATAGTTGCTAATGGAATGTTTCGTAATACTATAAATCACGTCTCATATGTCAAGAATATAATAGTTAGAAATATCGACAAAAAGCTATAGTTACAAGTCTTAACAAACCAATACACAAATTGTGAAAAAATAGCTAAAAGAAAATCAATGCGTTGAAAACTTGAACGGGTCACGAAATCTCAAACGCTCGTTTCACCTTTATGATTCAAAAGACAAGTTTCCTAATCAATAAACCCTAAAGTATTTAAACTTGAGAGAAATCTAAGTAACACTGCGTATTGATGTTCTAAAACGAAATGCTAATTTCCTTAACTAAAGTAAAACGGAATATAACGAACTTTAAAATGGTGAGTTTTATACTTTAAATGTTTCTTTCTCTATACAAAGGGTTTACCAATTATATTTATTGAGAAGTATTAAGGTGTTTCTTATTTGGTTTAAACGGATATTTTCTCAAATCATTTTTAAAAAACTTGCAACTAAACTTTCTCTTAATCATTAAATCCCTTGAGTAGACGGTAAGATATGTGTTTCCTTAATACGACCAATAGAAAACAAATATTTACATAGCAAACATACGAACTTTCTTTTACGTTCCATACGTCAAATAGCCTGTTATTAATGAGCTTCTTAGACTAAATTCTTAAATATAAACTTTTTATCGAGATATAACTCATTCAATATGCAGAGTTGAAACTTTAAAATGTGAATAAGTTTTAAGTATGTAAATCATATAGACGTTCAGTGTGTCTAAAATGAAGTATCCGAAATATGGAAGTGCAAGTGCACGAGGCTCACGAGAAAAGAATTACACGGGATTTGGTGACAAGTGTTTGCTGTAAGTTAATATTTAATCTTAAACAAGTTTCTGATGTTGTAACTTATTATGTGAATTATAGATTGGGGTGTATGTTAAAAGGACAGCAACCCAACGACATAAATAACCAAAAGACATATAGTGCGTTTGATTTCTTCATGGTGATTTTGAACCTCTTACAGCAGTACGCATATTGCTTGTCAACTCAAATTTCCGATACAATGTTTGCTAATAAGACATATTTTTTTTAGCGTGTTTCGAATTCAAATGACTTTGGTCTTTGTCTTATTAAAAAGAAAACTTTTTATCCAACAATCAGCAAACTTTTTAGACTGGATTTAAAAAAAAAACCTTCTACGATAAAGGGTAACTTGAATTGGTCAATTCCGTCAGCGGTTGTAAAAGTAAGAATTGTACATAATATAATTGATGATAAAAGTGGTCTGTGCCAAAGGTCGCATTTTAATATTTTCTCGTGCTGAGACATATTTTGATTTATGAAATAGACAAAAAATGATAAATGTAAGATCTTCTACAATTGAAATTGTATTATTTATGTTTAACATCACAGTCAGCATATAATTTGAAAATACAAGGGGCGCCATGGTAGTAGCGGTATCATAAGGAACATGGTGGTGTCTAGATATATTTTGCATTACATACTGATGAATTAAATGGCAGAGTGAAAGTGTAGTAAAATTATTATAAGTGGGAGGCCTTTAAATGCAAATCGTTTATCTGTCGCTTAATTTTTGGGATACAAAACAAAACACAACAAATGTATTTTACACAAACTAAAGATCAGTTTCAGTTCCATTTTGTAAATGATCTACTCCATCCCTTTTTCTTCATTTATTGTTGCTGCCTTGGTATGCTATAAGAGAACTTTTTTTTTTAATTTTCTACTTAAATATTAGGATTTTTACATCAATTTTAGAGGTTAATGTATAAAAGGAGTCCCGTGTTACTAGTATGTGTTTAGTTGTCAATGCAACAACAACACAAAGCTACTACTTGCTCCAATAAATTATAATGATAAAAAAGAGGGACATCATATCACCATGCAACAACTTAACTAAGAAAAGCAACAAAGGCAAATCAAATTAAAAATTGTCTTGTAATCACGCCTCAATTCAGTATTAATGGATACAAGCGACCTGGCCTAATTGGATAGCACTTAAATGGCTAGTTTAAAAGTATAAAATTGTAAATTGCTTTCAATACATTTTCCTATGAATCTCCTCAGACTGAAAACTGAGACTAGTGTTTGTTTAACACTTTACAACAGACTTTGTTGATCGTCTTTTAAGATGAAAAAGCACGACTCGCATTAAAGCAATAATACATCGATATAGCATAACTCAATTTTTGAAACTAATTTTTTTTTTAATTTAAGAGAAAAAAGTTCTGACATTTCCGTTTATATAAGTAATTTGTATTGACAATAGGTCCTTTTTTTAACTATACCTATCATTTATCGACAAACTATTTTTAAGAGACTGAACAGAAAGAGCCTATCACGCTTAACACTCGTGTTGTCTGAGACTTTTATGATAAAAACGAACTCGGTTTACTAGGGTCAATAATATGGAAGACTTTTTGTGCCTGATTTGCGTTACATTTGTAAATGGGTATAAATCAAATATGATATTCATATCAAAATTATATACTGAGGAGTTTCAAAGAATATTTTGAATATTCTGTTAACAAAGAATAGGAACGAACTGGGTGAAATAACAGCAATCGGGTCGACGACCTAGCAATTCTGATGAGCAGTTTCAAAGTCTTAAAACTAGGTTTTAACTTGGCATGTTTAATATAGACGGGTTTTGATGGTCCATGTTTTGGCCTTTCCCAATATCTTTCATTTTTTTGCCTTTTTAAAATTTCAAAACTAAGCATACCTTTTGAAAGTTGATACAGAAAAAAAAAATTCCGCGGTAAAACTAGTACATGTACTACCAGTTTATTTGAAAAAGAAATAGTACAAATATCAATATGTAATAGGTTCGTCTTTAAAAGCTTTTTTTTTTTAAATCAAATTATGCAACAAATAATATTGAATATAAACACTAGTTTCTCAATAGTAAATTAATCAAGCTGAATGCATTCATTAACGACATAAGAGTAACACAACAAAAGTTTTATAGTTTTCTTATGTATTTAATTTTTATATCGATATCTATTTACGCGGTTGTCAATAGATAGGTCTTAGGGGCAAGGCTTGAATGGTACACTTTACACCGATAACGAATAGATACGTATTGTTTGGGGGTAATTTAAAACGACTTTAAAAACCTTTGCTTGACACAATAATAAAATGTTAATTTCACCCAAAATTTAAAATCGTTTTAAATATTGTTTACATATGTGATCTTGAGGAAGGCAAATTGCTGAAATTAAAGTTTTACAAATGAAAATCACAGGGTGAATGTGACTTAGTTTATCGCCAAAAAATCAATAAAACGGCGGAGAAATCATTGTTAAAAAATTGACGTCTGTCAATTACATGTTATGTTTAGAGTTAATTTAATAATCTTTGGGACAATTATTACCAAATAATTTTCTGTGTATTATAGTTAAATTTTCATTTTAAACAAGTCATTTCAAAGGATACATTTTTACTTTTTTTATAGTAAGTTTTGAAAAATAATAATAATAATAATAATAATAATAATAATAATAATAATAATAATAATGATGATGATGATAATAATAATAATAACAATATAATTTATGTATTTATTGAGTAATTTTTCAATTATTTATGTATATGTTACAGTACAAATTGGAATTCAGTAAGATTTAGAATCCTCCTAGTACAAACTGGAATTCCAATATCTACAAATAGAAATTGAAATATCAAGATTTGTATTAGGAGGATCCTGGATTGTAATAGATAATCAGTAAAAAAAAGACACAATATAATGGAATAAACTAATATAATAAAACTTGTCTGAATCAAAAAGAAAAGAAGTAGGTCATAATTTCCTATGAATTCATTTCGCAGTACAGCACTGTTCTAAAAGTCCTCCAATTCTTTCTAAAATTCACTGTATCATAAGTTGATATGAGAAACAAAATAACATGCAAATGTTATTGTAAATATTCACGCAAGTTGATGATGCATTTTACCATAAATTGTATTTTGTTTGCGATAAGGCATAGCAAGTAGAATTATATCATTCTTTATTTTATTTTTCTACGCATCAAAGACATCAGTAAAAAATGAATATTTTTTGTAAAAAATCCAGTAGAATCCAGAATCTTACTAACTATTGTATAAGAAATATCCTGGATCTTACTAGAAATTTAGTACAATCAAGAATCCTCCTAGTACAAATCTAGATGATATTGGAATTCCAATTTGTACTAAGAGGATTCTGATTACTACTGAATTCCAATTTGTACTGTAACAAATTCATTTATTTATCTGAAATATATGGGAAATATAAATTCCAACAGCAGTGGCGGATCCGGGGGGGGGGGGGGGGGTCCAGGGGTTGGAACACCCCTTTTTTGACGATCAATGCATTTGAATGGGGACATATAGTTGGAACCCCCTTTATCCTTGGTTAGGAACCCCCCTTTTATAAATGGCTGGATCCGCCCCTGAACAGAAACAAGATAACACATAAATGAACGTATACATTTTCTGCTCAGTATCAAACATAATCCGAAAACCAATGACCGACTTAGACATATTTTTTGCAAATCTTGAAAAGTGTTTGATAAATTCACGGACATGAAACAAAAATTTAAATTCATAAATTCCTTTTCATTTATATAAGCAATGCTTGAAATGTTGAAACATAAATCCAAACAAGAAGTTTTCTCAATGTTGTGCATTTACTTTAAAAGCTGAATTGAAAGAAAAACAATAGTTTATTGTTTTATTTAATAAAATGTAACTTAATATAAAATGAACAACGCATAATTTCCCTTTTTTCAGATGCAGTGAATATTTTTGTTGCCATGACAATATGCTGTGGCAAAATCTTGATGGAAGGATGACATCCCCTAGGCCGCAATCAAGACGGTCGAAATCGTCCAGAGAAATTTATCATCCTGCTATCAAAGATCTAAGTGAACAAGCAGGGCTAACAGCACAATCATTATGTATGTACAACGTATTGATTTTTGTCGAGCCTTCGACTTTTGTCGAAAAAGCGAGACATAGCGATCCTACATTCCGTCGGCGTCGTCGTCGTCGTCGTCGTCGTCGTCGGCGGCGGCGTCCACAAATATTCACTCTGTGGTTAAAGTTTTTGAAATTTTAATAACTTTCTTAAACTATCATGGATTTCTACCAAACTTAAAAAGAAGCTTGTTTATGATCATAAGATAGTATTCAGAAGTAAATTTTGTAAAAAAAAAATTCCATTTTTTCCGTATTTTACTTATAAATGGACTTAGTTTTTCTGCCAGTTAACATTACATTCACTCTGTGGTTAAAGTTTTTAAAATTTTAACAACTTTCTTAAACTATCCTGGATTTGTACCAAACTTGGACAGAAGCTTGTTTATGATTAAAAGCTAGTATCCAGAAGTAAATTTTGTAAAAAAAAAATTCCATTTTTTCCGTATTTTACTTATAAATGGACTTAGTTTTTCTGCCAGTTAACATTACATTCACTCTGTGGTTAAAGTTTTTAAAATTTTAACAACTTTCTTAAACTATCCTGGATTTGTACCAAACTTAGACAGAAGCTTGTTTATGATTAAAAGCTAGTATCTAGAAGGAAATTTTGTTCCATTTTTTCCGTATTTTACTTATAAATGGACTTAGTTTTTCTTCCAGTTAACATTACATACAGTCTGCAGTTTAAGTTTTTAAAACATTTATTAGATTCATAAACTATCCTGGATTTTTACCAAACTTGGACAGAAGCTACTTACAATCAAAAGATAGTATAGAGAGGAATATTTTTATTAATTTTTTTCCTCATTTTTGCTGAGCCTGTGATTAACAGCAAAAAGTAGGCGAGACACTGGGTTCCGCGGAACCCTTACGAATTTTTACTGTATAGTGGTTTATTTTTGCGTTATTTGAATTTTGCGATTTTTTATTGCAAAACTGCTCGCGACTTATTATTGTCGCGTTTTTCTTCACTCCAGTTTTAATTTTCCTTTAAGATCAACGTACGCGAGGAATGGCTTTGATTTTTTTCTAAATCGCGAAATTATCCCCAAAAAAATCCTTGCAAATATTCTCCACTTTACAGTATATTTCTTTACGCATTTTGAAGCATTTTCTATATATATAAAACATGTTAGAAAATTTCATTAAAATCATGGCAGCAAATAGTTACCCAAAGTCATCAGGTTCGGTAACTCTTTAGACAGCAGTAATAAAGCTACTGTTAGAAATAAATCCTCAGATTACTAAAACTTAAATGAAAACAGTATTGCATGAACTTAAAGAAATTTTAACCAGTTTCCTCGACAAGATAACAAAATAAGAATAAAATTAAGGGGCATTCAGAGTTACAAGTCAAAGAAATATAGACAACAACACGATCAAAAGAAAACCAAACGAAAGGCGACCATCAAAAACAATACAAAAAGCTAGACTCAGTAGAACTTACCACAACTGGGGATGAATTCGGGTGCTCCAGAAATGTAAGCAGTTCCCACTTCATTAGTGACACCCGTCGTGTTACTTATGGTATGTTAATTCATATTCATGAAAGTGGAAAAGCATCTCCTGTAATGCATACATCATTCATCATACATGTTTTCAAAGTCAAATCTAGGAGTGAAAGGAGGACAGGTCATTGATAACTTAAGAGGCGAAAATCTGCAAATTAGACCAATCATTTGCTGTGACAATCTTTGCTTCCATCTAATAAGGGCAAATACAAACTATTGACGTGCATGATATGTTTCTTAAGCTTAAGAGAAACGCAGATTATTATATATATATATGTATATGTTTCACACGATGCTTACAAAACATTGACGAAAGTGGCATTTACAGACACATTACTGATTTAAAGAATCTCCCCTTAACCAAGATCTACAACCTAAAGAATAGAACATGTTGGCTGTTAGATTTAGTACTCTAGGTTTTGGTGCTCCCAAATGTCCAAGATGAGCTATCCAAAATTTTGTTTTCAAGCGTATCAATTGCTGGAACACATACAGCACTACGTAAATCGACAAACATAATAATATGATTGCTTGAAGAAATCGTTGACAATACCTAAGCTAGTTCACAATTATGGAATACTAAGGTTTGTTAAATAACTGTACCATATATCGAGTACTGCTCTACAAAATAGATATTTAGTAATCTACAACTAGGAAAAAATGTAACCATGATCCTGGGTTGACCTTTTATTTGTATTGGATATCGTTAAATGGTCTGTTGATAAGTTTAATTGATAATTATCATGCTATACTTCATGTTCATAGTTTTCAAACTTTGTTTTCTTTGTATTTAAATATTGAATTTTTTTGTATATGAAATGAACAGTTAATCAGCAATCATGACTTATTATTCTACCTTTCATTAGCTGAGTAATAACTCAGCCATATTTTATTTTCGTTTGACCATAGATGAAACCGTTTAATAAAATGTTTGTATGTACATACTTCATGTTTCTTTTACCCGGTGATTCCTTATAAAGCTACGTGTCTGATACCTGACATTTTGCTTGGTGGTGAACAGAATTATTTATTCGCTTGATTTAGGAACTAATAGGGTCTTGATTTTGTAAAGCATGTGCAATTTTCTCAAAGACTGGTAGATTTTTGCTTGGCGGTCACGAAAACCTACTTTGTTAATTCATTTCGCAGTTGTAGGGGACTTAGTTTTGCACCCGAATCATATTTTCCGACCATTTTTTATTCAGTTAGACTGAGTTGAATCATATGAAATAGATAGCCATAAACTTTTACTTGTTGCCAAGAAAGCTTTTCAAATGCATGCGCAGAAGATTTTATTCATAAACAATAATCGATCAACTATAAGTTAACAGATTTTTATGCCCCCGCCGTAGCGGTGGGGGTATTAAGTTTTACCCTTGTCCGTCTGTACGTACGTACGTACGTCCCAAAATTGGTTTCAGTTCTCTAACTTGAATTTGCCCCAACCAAATGTTATGAAACTTATACACAATGCTCATTACCACAAAACACAGATCAAGTTTGAATTTTGGTGGCGTCACTTTAACCGTTCTAGAGTTATGCTCCTTTATAAATGGAAAAATTGCAAATTTTTTAGTTTCCGTTCTCTAACTTAAGTTTGCCTCAACCAAATGTTATGAAACTTATACATAATGCTTATTACCACAAAACACAGATCAAGTTTGAATTTTGGTGGCGTCACTTTAACCGTTCTAGAGTTATGCCCCTTTATGAATGAAAAAATTGCCAAATTTTTATTTTCTTCTAAATATCAAGTAATTTTAAAATTGGAGTTATCTTCTTTTGTCCATGATTATAGTTGAATCAACTACAATCAATGCTTTATACAATACAATGTTTAATTTTGACTTCCACTGATAAAACACAGATCAAGTTGAATTTTGGTAGTGTCACTTTAACCATTATTGAGTTATGCCCTTTATAAATCGAAAGATTGCAAAATTTTTAGTTTCCATTCTGTAACTTAAGTTTGCCCCAACCAAACATTATGAAACCTATACACAATATTCATTACCACAAAACTAAGATCAAATACAAATTTTTTGTTTCCGTTTTCTAACTTTAGTTTGCCTCAACCAAATGTTATGAAACTTATACACAATGCTTATTACTACATAATACAGATTAAGTACGAAATTTGGTGGCGACACTTTTACCATTCTTATGTTTTGTCCCTTTATAAACATAAAAATTGCTGAATTTTTCGTTTCCATTCTCTAACTCAACCAAATGTTATAAAACTTATACACAACCGTTCTAGAGTTATGCGAGTTTACAAATAGAAAAATTGCTGAATTTTTAGTTTCTGTTCTCTACTTAAGTTAGCCTCAACCAAATGTTATGAGACTTGCACACAATGCTTATTACCACAAAACTCAGATTAAGTTCAAATTTGGGTAGCGTCACTTTTACCGTTCTTCAGTTATGTCCCTTTATAACTATATGATATGCAAGCGGGGGCATCATCTGTGTCCACATGTGAACACTATCCACATTCATTTATTATTGTGAAAATATAATAGGAAAAAAATTGCAATTAAACCTACCAAAACTTTATTATAATCCTTTCATTCGTTCCATTGGTTGATATAGTCTAACGTTTGATTTTGTCATTTTTTATGGACTTCCCCCTTTTTGAATTTACCTTGGAGTACGGTCATTTTGTTAATACTTTTTCTACTATACAATTAACAAAAGAACTTCATTTGTTGATATCCGTTGTTATCGCTATTTTACGAAATTTTCCTTTGATCTTGCTGACTGATAATTTCCTTTCTCAGCGGAGTCGAGTGATATGAAAATTATCGCTAGAAACTAAGGGAATACGTGCCGTTTGTCAATGAAATTAACAACGTCGTCATAGGTAAAATAGCAATCAACAGATTATCACTGGTCATCTCAACTCGATTGCTTTTCTCGCTTTCGCCGTACCGGCTCAAGCGAGAAAATCTATCTCGTTGAGAAAACCAACGATAATCTATAATTATCATTCTTTTTCGCAGATAAAATATGAAAGCACACTTTAAATTTGAATTACAGTAGGTATTTCTAGCCACCTAGGTACCACTTCAGATTGCGTTCTGAACTTCTGATTGTCTGTGTGGTTACTTTACTGAATGAAATTCTTATGAGAAGATTTAGATGAGTTTTCCAAAAAATGGTTATTGCATGTTATATTTTTCCGATAGTACATACCCGTGACAAAACTATTTAGATTTTTGAGGACATCGATGATTGCAAGAAATATGTCAAATATCTTATACCAATTGGAACAACGATCTTTAACTAGTATCCATGCAAAACCTTTACCATTATCCAACTTTTTGTAGTTTGCCTTCGTTTACTGATACCAATCGAAATGTTGGTTCTTAAAAAAAGAAATAGAGTGGTTTTTTTTAAGTTGTCCTCGTTGTTCTCTACAACTGACGTGTTGTTCACAAACAGTATAAAGCTTCAGTTTTCAGTATTCACTATTTAGTTCTACCATTGTTCGTCGGTTCATCTGTCCGATGTAGCATTTTGATGTATAATCTCGTTAGAATTGTCCGCTGCAAGGTTTAAGCAACACGACGGGTGCCACATGTGGAGCAGGATCTGCTTACCCTTCCGGAGCACCTGAGATCACCCCCAGTTTTTGGTGGGGTTCGTGTTGCTTAGTCTTTAGTTTTCTATGTTGTGTCTTCTGTACTATTATTTGTCGGTTTGTCTTTTTATTTTTGGCCATGGCGTTGTCAGTTTGTTTTCGATCTGTGAGTTTGACTGTCCCTCTGGTATCTTTCGTCCCTCTATTTTAAGAGTTCTGATTTTCCTTTCAATGCAAATGATATAAAATCTTTTACCTGTTTTAAATATGCAAACAAAGAGATTACATAATCCCATTCGACAAAATTAACATTAAAAACAAAAGTTGAGCGACCAGTACTATGAAACGAAAACTTAGACAAATAGTCAAAATTACTGACATGTACAGCGTCAGAAAGGAGAACCTTAATAAAATGTAGGAGTTGTAGTGACTTTAAAAATGTACTAATCTTACCCCAATTTTGGCCTTGAACAGACATGAAATATTTACCACTGTATAATATGTAAATAATGTTGCTAAGAAAAAACATCAAAAACAACAGTCAGATTACACCTAAAAAAAGTCATTACAAACCGTTCACAATAGATATGCATATTATATTGGTGAAGCAAACATCTTACAAATCTTGAGAAAATACCGGCATTCAAACAGACAATTTATGTCAAGACAAACAATTTAAATGTGTATTTGATCAGTTTTATTAATCGTTCGTTGATATCTGTGTTTAGATAAGAAGCTAATCACATTTTAAGACACAAGATTTAAGTTTTATTCATGTTACGTTTTAATATAACAATATTATTGTTTTAAATTACTGTACCAAAGTATATAATGTATAATTTTGTATAGGTGTTGAAGAGGTAGGTCAAACGTCCCCGCCATATTATGTCAACGGTGATGCGTCAGTTACCAGTAGTCACGACTGTGCTTCAAACGGCCATGATTTGACAATTATTCCTCCGGAGCCAGCAAGACTTTCCACGGCTTCGCCATTCTGTAATTCTAAGAAATTACCAGCGCTGTATGAAAATTCGTATAGCTCTTACAGACAACGTGTTGTGATGTCTGGGATACGTCTGAAATTGTTGAACACAAGTAGACGACCTCATAGCACGGAGCCTACTGGAATAATTGCTCCATCAATACCTTACAGCTGTGCAAATGATCCAAATGGAAATGTTAGTTTTATCATTAAAAATACAAATTCGCAAATTGAAGATCAGGAACCAAAAGAGAAAAGGTCAGTTATTTCGAACATAGCTTTTTTATCTACAGAATTATTCAGGTTTTTTAAGCAAATTCAGTTTATCGAACCAGTAGTGTAATTGACGAAAGAGCCCCATTGAAACTGTTGCAAATGCTAGGTTGTTTCTAGTTTATACATCAAAAATATACTTTCCTACACAAAAGTAATTCTTTTTAATGAACTGCGACTGTTATTATCAAAATAGCAAGCCTATAGGAAATAGTAAGGCTTTAATAAGCGATAGATGACTGTTGCCGTTTTATTTACAGAATTGTGGTTTTATAGTGCTCTTCAAGTTCAATTTAACTATTTCCAATAGTTTGATTCGAGCACCACTGGTGAATGTTGTAAAGAGGAAACGCGCATATGGCCTACTAAATACTTAGCCTGGTATCTTTAATTAGTCTGTTATGATGCAAATGAAGCCTAATAAGTGATAAGTCAACCAATTAGTGATGAATAATTAATCATAGGAAAAAGAAATCCGTATTTAATATCAAAATGGTAGTTTATAAAATCTGTCGATTTTTTTTTTATTTCAGGAGGATTCCACATTACAACAACAAAACTAGATTTAAAAGTCATTCTGGCACACTCTTATCTGACGGTAATCAGGTTCATATGAACGTTTTTCATCAGCATCTTGTCAATATACATCCACTTAAAAGACAAGAAACCTCATTATGGTTATCGAATGGCTTTAAAGTTCAAAGTTTCAAATCAAATGGCAAACGATCACAAACATATATCAAACCAAACACTGCAGAAGGACATTTTCGAAATAGAAGAAGCGCAAATGGGAAATTGTGTCGCGATTTTAGTAGTTTACATCTTCAAAATGTAAAACCTGAAATTGAACGACAGAGAGAACTTGAAATGGTTTTGAGTGACAGTTTAAAGCAACCAACAGATTTGGGAGATGTAGCTATTTCTCCATTACAAATACAAGGTGGACTTACTGGGCCGAATAGATTGGCAGCTGATTTTAATTTGCAGAAAGGTTGAAGTGCCTTTTGTTCTCATTTAGGAAATATTTTTTTCATATTTTATTTGCTTATATTCACGCAGGAATCGATTTTGAATATCACTGAGAAATCAAATCTGCACCTAAAAATTTCATTTAGACAAAATCAAGTTACAAAGAGTTGAAAAAGTTTATTGAACATTTCGACTTGTGATGAACCTGTTACACATTCTAAAAATATTTTCAAAATGTGTTCAACTATGTAGGTAAAAAACCAGAAATGACTTTTTTGACACGAATGCATATTCACTTGCATTCCAGAAAGTTTTGTTTTGATACATTCATTTTTACATTCTCAAGGACCTTAACATGAGACCATTTAAGTATTAGCAATGCTCTTTTTTATCCAGTATTATTTTTGTATTACTAGTAGTCACAGTGTTTATGTATTACTAAAACGTAAAAATGCATGTAGAAATGTATATATGTTAGATTATTTATTTTTTCGGAGTAGACATTGTGCATTGTACACATATTCATAAATTCGTTTGGCCATTCATATGATCTTATTTTGATCATTAACTGGATGAAATTTTGGACATTTAAAATTTGGCTTCGTAGCATTATAATCGGCTTTGTTTTTTAAATCATTTGACATATAAAGAGGTTTTTGGCAAATAATAACTTCAGGTCGATATGTTTATTTAATGTACTTTATAATAAATAATGTGGTCAATGTTTTACAGCGCAAAATTATGCACACAAGCGAAAAATGTTTAAGCAAATTAAAATACTTCAACCAAATGCTCAAGTTAAAAAGAAACCATGCATGCGTGCATGAGGTACGAAAGTTCCTCTCGGAATAATAAATAGTTCTCCTTTTTAAACTTGCAATGAATAATTGATTTGAGACGATCGATTTGGTGTTACGGTTTAACTCGTTCTACATGTTCTTTACTTTTTATTAAGGTTATGTATTGATTACCGACAATGCAAGGGTTTATAGGGTCAAACAGACTAGCTCCTACTAATTTCAGTTGAGGGTATTTGCACTCTTTCTACCGATGTTAACATTTGTCAGGAACTAACATTCCCTTGTGATTTAAAGCATTTTACCTTCAAGTTTGTTCTACAAACAAACAAATAAACAAACTTATTGCACATTTACGAATTAAAAATGAAATATAATATAATAGATATAAGAAGATGTGGTATGAGTGCCAATGAGACAACTCTCCATCCAAGTCAAAATTTATAAAAGTAAACCATTATAGGTCACAGTACGGTCTTCAACACGGAGCCTTGGCTCACACCGAACAGTAAGCTATAAAGAATGAATGCTCTTCTATACGAACTTATAAGACATTTTTGGAGATTGCAATATTAATGAAATTAGATGTAGGGTGTAAACGGTGACGAGAAACGTATACTTATAAGAATAGTATCATCTCGTGGAAATTAATCGATGGTTATAATAAAGTTCTTGTGGATGTCAACTGATCTCAAAAGGCTGACACAATCTTAAGTAATGTAAGTTTTCGCAGAACTTTTCCGGTTCCAGTATTTTTATATCATTTTAAGTTTGAACTTTGCATTTTCCAACAACAGAATATTAGTAATGGGATTTTTTTCTTGAAAAATCAAAATAAATTTTTTTATATGTCAATATTTTAAGCATTCCACATATCAGTTTTAATTCATTGTCTATTTTTTGCCTGATTGTCATATTAGTACTCAAGAACAACTTTACAACTTTTAAGAGTAGAAACTTTGTTATCATATAATTCATTTTTGTCTTCGGGATTTTTTAATACTAGAAGGTATTTGCCATTGGTGCATGCATGTAAACTTTGCTTTGACTTTTAATGGAAATAAGCGCTGTAAATGTTATTTTAAAACAATATAGAACTTATTCGGAAAATTGAATTGTAGTGTTACTGTGAAACAAAAATGTTTTACCGGCACACAAAAAAAACACCTGCCACATTTTCCTTATTATTTTACAAAATCTTCGAAGCCAATAGTCAAATTAATGAATATTTCATATTGCAATATTTTCCAATTTGTTTCTTCAGTGAATTTCACTAATGAAATACAACATGTAATAATTAACAATATCATAAGAATAAAACCATTAATGATTTTATTTCTAGAAGTTTGTTATGATATAATTAACTGCATATTCTTATTAATATATTACTGTGTCAAAAAAGAAAACACACACACACACACACACACATTTTGATGATTTATAGTAGTTATAACACTTACAGTACCCTTTTTCAGTGCACCAGATGCACAGTTCAATAATAACGTCTTTTCAGTGATGGTCGAGGTACTGCAGAGGGTCAGTATTCCAATTAGAGTGCACTGAAAGAAAAGAGATGGTCAAGATGACTGAGTTACCTGTTCGATGTAAACATCTTACAATCCTTTTTCTTTTAGACCCTCAATCTGATAAAATTAATACAGATCATGTGTCCAAGCTTTGCTTACAAGGAAAACGCTCCGTTCTACTAATGAACTTTCCGGATCCTCTGGTTTTGTCGGATTAATACACACCTTGAAAAATTTGAAGGCTGAAATTTCATTGGCTGATGTAATAATAACCAGAAGAGAGTTGTCAGATCTTTGTAAGCAAAGCACGAACACATGATCTATGTTTTATCGAGATTGGTAGACACTTTGAAATGATGTAAGTGAAACATATATGAATACAACGATATGAATAATTAACAGTCAGGTATTTACCCCTATTCTAGAAATCTGTATGTCAATAAAAAGTCACGCTCGCTTTACGATATATATTGTGATTCTGTTGAACTACTTAATTCAAATGAAAATTACACGTTATAAATTTGGCTCATCTTCATCAGGAACGCTTAAACTTAAAAAAATCAAATTCTTTGATATATAGATACCTGAATACTCTAGGAGCTATATGACCAAATAGAACTGAAAAGGATATCCGAATTCATCTAATATCAATTTTGTATGCGGGAGTTGGAATCTTGGTATCTTGATAATTTCTTACTTTATCAAAGGGAAATGTAAGCACAGCATGTTACTAATCATGTCAGTATTGAATCACTGACTACTAAGCTGATGATACACTCAATGACTTACAGTCCATCAGCAGCGGTTTATGACCCAGTGCTAGAAATTAAAATAAAACTTTCTAAATTTGGTGCTTCTGAAGCGCTTTTCTTGATTCACCTGCATCCAGAACGCTCTATACACATAAAAGAGACCTAAAAGAATATCTAAATTCATCTAAGTTCAACTTAGTCCGAGGGAACCTTATTATCTAAATAATTTGTTAATTCCTCAATGGAAAATTTAAGTAAAGTACAATGCATGTTATAAATCATGCCAGTACCGAAGCTCTGACTATTGAGATGATGATACCACTGGGGACTAACAGTCTATCAACAGTGGTATCGACCCATTGCTGTGGAATGAAAACTTCACTTTTAAATTTGGTGCGTTCAAATAGATATTCAGTATTTAGCCTCATCATGAACGCTCAAACCAAAATATTTGAATGTAGGGGATATATACCTGTTTAATTGAGGACTACTGTGGTATATGACCAACATGGATCTAAAACTAATAGCCAAATTATAAATGTTCAACCTTGCATGAGAGATTTCGAACCTATTTCTGTATTAGGTTTAGGACTTTAGAAATATTTTGGACTAAATCATGATTGAAGAGGCATTAATTGTCTTAATAATTTCTTAGTGTATTTACAGAAAATTTGAATTTGGTGCTACGACTATGAGCATTATTCAGTAGAGCTTGCAATTGAGTACTTTATTTTCAAAGAACACATCGCTGTACCGTAGCACTATTGTAAAGTTTAGATTTTCTTATTCTCAAAATAGAAGTATACTTATCGGTAGTCGGTGCTCCGTACTGAATAATTTATAACATACTTGTGCAATTAAATTCACCGTTTATGAATTGGGGTATTGAAAATGATTCCAATTCCCTGAGGCAAAGTTGATGGAATTGGTTATTCCTATAGACCCTTTTTTTCATATAGCTCTTCACATGTTTATGAAGTTTTCAATTGTTTGGGTATGGCCGTTCTGGTGAAAGGTAGCTCAAGAAATTTTTATATTTTTCTACATGTAGTTCGAACCTTGATTTGGAAATTTACTCTTCATAATATAATTCTTTCCCTTAAAACGCCAAGAATTAGATTAACCCTATGTTGAGGCAAACTATACTGTTAGATGTAAGATGTCATATTACCGGACACATTATTGAAATTAAATAGGTAAGATACTAGAAAGTATAAATAATAAGAAATATGTGGAGGCCAAGTAAACAGAAGATAGGATAGCGAAGGGCTATAAATACCGCAAGAAATCCTCTACTGATGTGCTAAACACTTACAAATGAAGATTAAAATTTTGGTTCCTACCTTCATATCTTTAGATATTTAAATTTTCATTTAATTATAATGATGATATTAATTGTCATGAAGATTATGAAAAAAGGTACAAAATACCTTAAACATATAAGCAATAAATTTTAAAAACAATCAGTTAAATGAGAGTTCTCAATTCCATTGACTGTTTAAAAAGGAACATAGAGTTTGTACAAGTTGAATACCACTTTAAACATATACAGGATATTGTTTGCATTTTAAATGTCGGGTAAAGACAATAAACAGTTTGTATATGACATTGCACTATTAAATTTCTAACTTAAAAATATCAAATGAAAGTATACAAATTAAATGATTTATGAAAACAAAAGAATAATTCAAACGTTTGACAGACTTTTGAAAATAGTAAGTTGAACAACAAGGGTAATACTTAATACAATATTTACTTAAATCAAAATCATTAAAAGTAATGCATCTTCATTGACAATAACGTAATATATCAAAACAGTTGACAATAAATAGACTAATTGTAATGTCTTTTTTAGTTGAGGGTTTGGGCATTCACTGAAGAACAAAACTCTTTCCTTGGATCTCAAGTTTACTTTATCTTGCCGCCGATTTGCCTTTTGTGTTCGAAAGAATAAATCATAATTTAAAATATTTAAAACGTGCATGTATTTCTAAACAACGGACATTTGCTTTTCCTTTCCTTGAATCAAAGATACATGTATTACATAAGGTATGTTTGTAATTATGAAAGGTATTTTTTTATAAGTATTTCGAAGAACATGTGTTAATGTCTGCATACCCTGACCGCTTTGATAAATAGCTCATCAAATGATTGATATCAATTATGACGCTTAACATGAATGTTCCAGTCTTGGTGTTGGTACTGTACATATACACGAAAAGGAATGGTTTAATAAAGGCTTACTGCGCATAAAATCTTTACCATTTTTGACTGTCAATCTAAGTTTAAAATTATCTACTGTGGATTCATTTTTATTCGTGGTATACCAATTTTCGTGGGTTTCGTGGGTCACAGCGAACCACGAATTTAAGAATTCAACGAAGAATAATCCCGAGAAATGTGTATGGAGTCAGATATTTATTTCCGGTTATGTTATGCAGTTCTAGTATAGTGTTGACTAGCGATAAACATTATAACACAACACGTGTTTTTAATGAAAGAAGATACAAGTATTTTGATTAAATCAATAATAAATATATGGAATATCACTGATAATTTACTTTTTAAAATTGATTAAAACTGTTCATGGAAAATAACTGCAAGTTGTTAATTACCGTGTCATAGTTTGGTTTACTGGTGATTAAAACTCAATAGGATTAAGTACGGGGATATTGCCCGTAGGTAATATTGTTTATGACAGGAACATTTATTTTCACACCTTTTACTAATTATATGACTGTTTATTATATCGTGATTAGGGAAATGAGCTTTCAATCATAGAGTTTTGAATGCCTTATAAAATTCCGACAAGAATTTATAAATTGTAAAACAAACAAATAATTAGTTGTCTCCGTCCATTATTGTAATAGAAGTTTTCAATGAACACTTTAACCTAGAATGACCAAGCGAGGATTTTGACAATTCAAAACTTTTTCAATGAATTCCTTCTTTTTTGTTTGTTTTATTATTGATCAAACCAAGGAGGTTATATGATCTAAATCAAAAAGAAATCAACGAATTACGTATCTGATTTTTTTTTGTTTTTTGTAATCAGCGATCCACGAATTTACATATACCACGAAATGTCTTTTTTTCTCTATCCACGAAAATTGATACCCACGAAAATAAATGAATCCACAGTATGCCTCTTGAACAAAGAAGGGTAAGCAGATCCTGCTCCCCTATTAAGTTTACTCATCCAAAATGCTGTCAATGAATTATAGGCTCCTTAGAAACTGAAATGTTTTATCTTTCAAACGGTAAAATTATGGCATACTTGTCTCTTAACACATTCCCCATTTCCATTCTCAATTTTATTGGTTTTCTACGATATTTCGAATTTGACACTTTTTGTTTTTTCGCTGAAGCAGTGTTACAATATTTTTAAGAAACAAATATTAAAAAAAGATTATATATATTATGCTCTCTGCGATAAATACTACAGCAACCAAATAGCCAGTAAACAATTGCAATTTTCAACAGATGTACCATGTACAAAGCAAAACCAAATTCTTATCTTGAAATCATTCACTTAATATTATAACCAATTAAATATGATAGTAAATAGACTGCCAAGAATCAATAAAATCTCGTCAAATATATACTAGTCTTATAACTTTGTACTTTGAACGCGCGTTTCGTCTACGCAATACTCATGCATGCGTGGCGCTCAAACGAAAAGAGTTTCATACTGTTTGTTCTATGAGTATAGCAGTTTCCCGGTGTTCAAATCTCATAAATGAATTAAAAAGATATAAATCAAATAGAAAATAAAAACTGGTAGAATCGCATGAATTTTAAAAGGAGCGAGACCGTGTGTGTCAACACGATAAGTGTCTCTTGCTATTCATGCATCACCAGCCATGCAAATCTACAGTGGGTCAAAAGCTCAGAATCGGGAATAGGGCACAATCGGTAAAATTGCAGATCAGACGACAATTCTGGTATATAAAGATATAAGACCGCGAAAACAAGTCGCTAAAAAGTTCAGACACAGTCGCATAATATCGGTCTACCAATTCATAATGGTGAACATAAAACTTACGTAACGTCGATC